TGGTGCTCAGGGAACCGTATGGTATACTGGAGATTGAATTCCAGGTCGGTCATGTGCAAGGCAAATGCCCTCCTCACTGTCCTATCTCTCCAGCCCCTGAAATAAATTGCACAGGATTGACATTTCCTAGTGATGCGGCTCAGCTGTAGTGCGTGTGCTTTGCATTTGAGGCCCTGGGTTTTCAATTCCTGGTTTTAGCACAAAAATGGGTTTTTTATGTACGTTAGTTTTTGAGAAGTATATGAATGATTTGCATAAAAAACTCAGATGCTTAAGAAGTTCAAGTTTGGGATGTGTGTATATGTTTGGTGTATATGTGTCATCCCATCAACGGCCAAGACCCAGAGACTATAAAACCCAGCTCCCGGAAGTGCTACATCTTATTGTCTAGTTCTTACTCTGGAGAACCCGGCATGCTACCGAAAGTATCCTGCCCACACGGTAGAGTCTGGCAAACTCCCCGTGGTGTACTCAATATGCCAAAAACCAGTAACAATGATGAGTCTCATTCTCCTGACCCTGAAAGAGTCTTAAATATGGCACTTTCTAAAATCTGAGGGCTAGGATGAAGGAGACATTACTGGTGCCTGCTCGAGGAAATCGATGAACAACAGGATGACTGTGATACCGTGTATATGTTTAGTATATGTGTTCCTGATTCTGGAATCTGCCTTTCCCGAAAGTCCTGTTTAAGGCAGAGATACCACTTCGCTTCCGTCTTAACTAGGGAGATGGGTTAAAGCAGCAAGATGTTGAGTGCCCAGTTTGTTTTTTTTGTTGTTGTTATTGTTTTTTTTTGGCTTTTGGTATCACACACAGTGATACTGAGGGGTTACTCCTGGCTCTGCACAGTTACTCCTGGCATTGCTCGGGGGACCATATGGGATGCTGAAGATTGAACCTGGGTCAACCGCGTGCAAGGCAAGCACCCTATCTGCTGTAGGTTATTGGGAACAGCCCATGCATATCCTCAGGACGAACCAAAGGAAACAGTTGTGTTGCTGTTTCTGCACTTGGTATGGAATTCACTTCACTGAGCAGATGTTCTTGCTCCCCAACTTCAGCTCAGATGTTCTCAAAGCCTAGTTCCTTGCTAAAGTATTCTTAATACAAGTGATGCAATTGTCTTTTAAAACCTTTAACACATGGATGCTGGTGCCACAGTTTGTATTAATTAAACACATTCAAGCCTGAGCCACTGGTGGTGTGTGCTGGCATCCACGTATTAAACAGGTGGAACCAATAGGGAAATACAAACACACAAAGAACTTAAGCCCTGAGGAGACAAGAAACGAGATTCGAGCACTTCATCACTTTATTTTTGTATCAGATCAGTCGTCTCCTATAGCCGTGGGAAATCAAAGTGCTTTGGTATTTGGAGAGGGGGGAGAACAAAGGCATGTCTGTGATTTTCACTTCGGGTGGGCCTTTCTTGAAGACAGCTTTCCGGTCTTCCCCATGGCAAAGCCTTTCGCTGTGATTCACAAACAGAGGCTCTTCTGAAGTGCCAGCATAGATGCCGCATGCTTGTGCACGCTGAGAGGGGAGATTGGATGTCAAAGCATGTCAAACATCACTTTCTTATTAGTTAACATGTAAGTTGTCCTCTCTTTCTCTTTGTCTCTCTCTGTTGCTGTCTCTTTCTCGGGGAATGGTTCTTTGGGGTTCTCCCTCTGGGGTCAGTTGTTCTTCCTGGTGGTCCTCAGGGAACTTTATGGGGTTCCAGGGATTGAACTAGGGCTGGTCAAATCAAGGTGAGTGCCTTAACCCCTGTATTATCTTTCTATCCTCCAGAATATTTTTTTTCCTTTTTAAAAAATGTGTTCATTTGTTCTTGGGTCACACCTAGCCAATGCTCAGCGGTTACTCCTGGCTCTGCACTCAGGAATCATTCCTGGAGGAGCTCAGGGGACCATATGGGATGCCAGATATTGAACCCTGGTTGTGTGTGAGGCAAGCACCCTTCCTGCTGTATTCTCTCCAGATCCACCCTTCTGCCCCGCCCCCCCCCCCTTTTTTTGAGCACCTGGTGGTACTCGGATTATTCCTGGCTCTGTGATCAAGGGTCACTCTGTAGTGCTCTGTGGACCATATCATATGCAGTGCCAGGGATTGAGCTGGGGTCACCTACATGCAAAACAAGCATCTTAACCACTGTGCTATCTCTCCGACTTCTGTCCGTCAGTTGGTCCTTCCTTCCTTCCTTCCTTTTTCCACAGTACTTGGGCCACATCCAGCAATGCTTAAGGGTTATTCCTAGCTCTACACTCAGGAATTATTCTTGGCAGTGTTCGGGGGACCATATGGGATGCCAGAGATTGATCCCAGGTTGGCCGCATGCAAGGCAAGTGCCTACCCACTATACTACCTCTCCAGCCCTGACCTCTGATTTTTCTTTCTTTTTTTTTGGCTTTTTGGGTTACACCCAGCGATGTTCAGGGGTCACATCTGGCCCTACACTCAGGGATCACTCCTGGTGATGCTCAGGGGACCATATGGGATGCCAGGGATTGAACCCGGGTTGACCACGTGCAGGGCAAACACCCTATCCGCTCCAGCTGTAAAGAAAGACCTACCACATAGTAGCATCCTTTTTTCCTTTGTGTGTGTGTTTATTAACCTATATTATTAAATATGCTATACATCTAGGTATCTAGTGTATAGCATATTTAGTAATACAATGTTGTGTTTAAAGGCTGCTGGGAGTCTTAAGCATCGTCATCAAATATACAGAATTAGATCTATGAGGTGATGGGTATGTTAGTTATCTTAGTATCAATAATTATGTCACTGTTTATATATGACAAATTATCAAGTTATACACTTTAAGATAGATATCAATTGTTTCTCCATAAAACCAGAAATAACTATGTTTATAGCTATATGAGATTAGGTTTTTAGTTATGAATACTTATAGAAAATACCTTCATATTCAAACTCCTGAATTCCATGTTTTGTTTCCAAGGCATAACATAGTAACTTGGAATCATCCCTTGCTTCAGTGAAAACCGTGGCAAATGGATTTCAGTAACCCTAAAAATTGGGAAAAAAGTGAAAAGAGAGTACCTGAGTTACTTTGTTTTGAATTTCATCCTAAAGAATCAGGAGCTGAGCCATTGTTGCTATGCCAGTGTTTGAGGCTCACTGAATTGGGAGCAGCCCATTAGTTAAATCCCCAAGTTTTACCCAGATCAAAAGTCTAGACTATCCCTGTTATGGTAAGTCCCCTGCCCTTTTTCCTTTAAATAAAATTTTCATCTGATTAAAAAAAAAAGAGGGCCAGCGTGATAGTACAGTGGTACTATCACTTTGCGTGCAGCTGACCCGGTTTGATCCCCAGCATCCCATATGGTCTCCTGAGCCCACTAGGTGTGATTCTTGAGTGAAATGTCAGGAGTAACATCTGAGCACCCGAGGTATGAACCTTAAACCAAAATAAGAAAATAAATCATAAAATTAAAAAAAAGTGTATAGGTTGGGTATCCACACCTCCAAATGCATGCTGTCAAATTTCACAACTTGTCAACAATGTTCATTATAATTTGCCTTTAAGGGAAGATACAATGATTCACAACAGCCACTTTGTACATGTATTACTTACAGTTGACATGCTTCTTCTAAATACCTAAGTTTTCTTCTACACCATTTTTCTATATCCTTTCCAAGTGAAAGTGCAAACCTGTATTCATCAGACCCCAGCACCCAGATGTACTCACTTAGGCTCATCTAAATTCTCATCAGAACACTTGAGTTTTGGAGAAACAGGTTTTGCATCTTTCTCTGAAGCCATCAGAGCCAGCACCTAACAGAATTCTCATTTAGAATTTGACTAACTTACTAGTCTATTTATGACATTTCTGCCTCAGATGTAACAATGTCTTACATTGTTATCTCAAGTACACTGAAGTAACAGTGTAGCTGGTTGAGGAGGGTAGAGCTCAAGTTATCTAGTTGAGGACAGGGCTCAGATTTCAGGATTTTTTTTCTAGTTCCCTGCTCAGGGATGACGCCTAGCGAAATCTGGGGTGGCACTGATAGAACCCAGGCTAGCTGCACGCAAGACTATATAGCGCTATATACCGTACGATAGCTCTTGCTTTATTTCAGGATATTTAATATGCTTTCAAGTAAACCTAACATACCTAACTGAAAAATGAGAATGTACACTGGAGCTACAGAGATCAAGCACTTGCCTTGCTTATGTGCAGTCCTAGGTTCCATCCCTGAGGCTCCCTCCCCACTGCCTCCTCCCAAATACAATCACTTGCAGACTTACAAATTTGCCATCTACTAGAAATATATTGGACCAAATACTACTCACAAGTAACAACTTAACTCGGGTAACGTGTAGTTTCCACACAACACATGGTTGACGTATGACCCATTTACTTAAGACCCACACATACAGATTATGGCTCATTAGTAGGACAGGCTTCACATTTGGGAGGCCCTGGGTTTAATACCTGGCATCACACACATTCAGTTGAAGCTCATTAAGGACTGCCAGAGTTCTGTTTTATTTTTTCTTTCTTTTTTTTTTATGAATGTAAAGCGACCAGTAACAATTTTTCTCATTTCACAATTATACCCAATTTCAACAACCATGTATTTTAGAGATTACTGCAATCTCAAGTACACTACAAAGAACAGTTTAATTGCTTACTACGTATCTTTGTTTTGTAAATTATATTCCACCCTTGAAACAGCTTAAGTAAACTACCTTTATTTTCTTCAGTAACAATAAATTTTTTGAAACTTCATGCAGATGTGACATTTTAGACCTAACTTCCTTAACATAAGGTGAAAGTCTTAGGCAGACCACAACTGGAAAATTTTTAAATGTAATCGCACAGGCAGAGATCACAATCAGAAATATTTAGTATATGATAATTGACTTAATAAGAAGTAAAAAACAAAAGTTAATTGCTATTCTTTAAAAAGCATCTGATACTTGATTACTTATAGATAAATAATGGGAAGAAACAGAAATAGAAACCTACTCTAATTTTAGTCTTTATTTAAAATGGCCCAAATTCTTAGAACACAAAAAAAGCTAAATGTGAATGCATTTGCTATAGCTTAACAATTTGTGTCCATTTATATCTTTTAATGGAATGTTCTGAAACTAGTCATAATTCACTATAAAAATAATTCAAACTTTTGAATAATGTTATAATTACCCTGATACAACTGATTATCAATTAGTAATAACTAGGACATGCAACAGATTGAGAAATTAAACCCTCTTGCCTAAATATTTTAAAGTATTTTGTAAGATGTAACAAAAATCTAAATGTTTTTGATAATATTCATTTCCCAATTTATTTTTATTTAAAACAGGACTTTTCTTTCCAGATATTTTATCAGTGCAAAGTAATATCAGTAGAAATGATCTGTTACAATGTTGTCTTAGAAAGGTCTATAATTCAAAATGCATTAAAAGATGTCCAAATCATTAGAATGATCCACTTCAATGGCTTCCTCTGCATCTAACTTCGTTTCTCCATGTCCTTCCTGTGACTCATCAAGAGAGGCCAAAGCCTCATTCGTGTCACTTGCAAAAGTTTCTCGTGAAGTATCATCATCTTCTTGAAAATTTAGACTTTTGATAGCTTGTTTCATCTTTTTCCCCAATACTTGTGTTCTCCTCTTCCTAGCAGCTTTTTTATTTTCATATTCCTTTTGATTTTCTATGTAGAAAATGTCCTACAATAAAGGAACAACTTTTATAAATAAGAACAACCATTCATGAAGAGTTTGTTACAAGGCAGATACAAAAAGGTTCTTATCTCTCTTTCCTCTTTTCCCATACTCTAGAAGCTCAAGTTCTCTCTTGAGCATGTATCTCTCTGGCCCTCTAGTTCTTTTTTTTTTTTTCTTCTTTTCCCAGCCCCCCTCACCCCCACCAACTTGAAGATTTGGGCCTCCTGCATGCACTTAGTTGGTTGATATATCTCTATAGCCCCAGGAAAAGAACATTAAAAGCTGCAGCCAGCCAGAGTATTGATACAGTGGGGAGGAGCCCTGACCTGGTAGACAGGTAACCGGGGGTCTGGGTCTGATCCCCAGCACCACATATGGTTCCCCAGCACCACATATGGTTCCCCAGCCTGCCAGGAATTATCCTTGAGGCTGAGCTAAAAGTAAACCCGAGTACTGCTAGGTGTGGCCCCTAAACAAAACAATCAAAAAGCTGTAGTCAAGGTAATCCCTTGGTAAAGACTTGTTAAAGTCTTAAGTATACAAACTGCAAAATCCCTTCTTGTTTGTATAAAACTTTATGTGGGCTGGAGCACATGCTTTGCATACAGATGCATCAGGTCTGGTGCTCCACAAAGACGCCTGAGCAAGGATCCTATTTGGGAACAGCCCCTGAGAACGATGGGGGGAGGGTGCCCTCTCCCTCCCAAGCATTGTGGGTGGTGATGAGAAAAAGAATACCCTCTCCTAAACTTATGCTCAGTAGTTAGAAGGAACACACAGAATTAGCAGGGAAAGAGATAAGAAACCCTGGAATTAAGGAAATGTCCAAAATGAGTACTTGATGAAAGAGCAAGACTAACATATTTGATAAAGAAATGAGGACTGATTGGCTGGAGGGCACATGAGAGAAAGAAGTGCAGAAAGGACAGAAAAAATTAATTCTGGGGCTGGAGAGAGAGCACAGAGGCAGGGCACTTGCCTTGCATATGGTTCCCCAATCCCATCAGGCGTGATCCCCGAGGAATCCCTGAGTGCAGAACCAGGAATAAGCCTGGACCCTGCCCTGTGTGGCTCCCTAACAAACAAAAAAGTAGAAGTAGGGATACCTATCATTTACCAAATGTGTACTCATGTGCCAAGCATTACACAAATAATTTTCCGCACATTTATGCATTTCACTCTCAAATCTCATAAAGTAGTTTCTATATTCTTGTTTTCAGATGTGAAAAGGGAGGAAAAGATTACAGAACTGGGGCCAGGGAGAGAGTTTTATAGGGTTGAAGCCCAATGCTTGAAAATGCTCAGGGTTCAATCCCTGGTATCACATGCTTGCCCCAAGCACCTCTGGATATCTCATATACACAGATTACAGAACATGTGAAGGTATAAATTCTAAATTCGTGTATAATTTCTCTAAATTCATATTCTCAAGCCTCACTATGTGCGTTCACAATAGTATAATTATTCATTTTTCATTTGCTTTTGGGCTATGGCTGCTGGGCTCAGAGATAATTTCTGACAATGCGCTAGAGGCCATATATGGTACCAGGGACTAAACCTGGGTTGGCTGTGTGCAAGGCAGGCTCCTTCCCCGTTCCTACCACCCTCAGACGGATTAAACTGATGCTATAGGGTTAGAGAGGCAGTGGGCAGGGCACTAGCTTGCACACAGCAAGCCTGTGTTCAATCTTAGGCACTCCATATGGTCCCCTGAGTACCGCCACGAGTGAATCTGAGTGCAGAGCCAAGAGTCACCCCTGAGCACAGCTGCTGAGTGTGCCCCACCTTACAAAAAAACAAATCGAAACAAAACAGAAGAGGCACACATTTTACTTGAAAGGGGACAATGACAAAATTGGTTCAGTTAGGGGATAGAAAGTAACAGAGGTTAGTAAAAAGGAATGAAGTTAGAGGTTGAGTGGTAATCATTATGCACTGTCCTCCTGCTGTTCACTGATTTGCTGGAGGAGGCCCAGTAACATCTCCATTGTGAGACTTGTTGTTACTGTGTTTGTCATATTGAATACGTCACGGGTAGCTTGCAAGGCTTTGCTGTGCACACGACATACTCTCAGTAGCTTGCCGGGCTCTCCGAGAGGGGCGGAGGAATTGAACTCAGGTCGACCGGGTTGGCTGCATGCAGAGCAAATGCCCTACCCTCTGTGCTATCGCTCCAGTAATCATTATGATAGATCTTAAAAGTTAAGGACATTATCAAGGTTGGATCAATAGCACAGCGGGTAGAGCGTTTGCCTTGCACGCAGCTGACCCAGGTTAGATTCTCAGCATCCCATATGCTTCCCTGAGCATCGCCAGGGGTAATTCCTGAGTGCAGAGCCAGGAGTAACCCTTGTGCATCGCCAGGTGTGACTCCCCCCCCCAAAAGTTAAGGACATTATCATTTTTACCTTAATTTGCTCCTCGCTGATACTAGGAGTGTTTTTCAGGAGATTCAGAAACACTCCACCTGGGGTTCTTCTTCGACTACCATTCTACAAAAAAAGGAACAGAGCAATTCTGTAGCCACAGATCTCCCCATAAATTGCAAACAAGATCATCAGATGTATCCTGACCAATCTAGTTTACTGCAATGCCCTTTCTTCCCATCCCCTCTTTATCTCCCTTTCCTTTGTCACATTTCCCATACATTTCTGACATTATCTGAAGTGACGGTATTTTTCAACAGACTACATCCTTTCTTCTCCAACATGTCAGGATAAGAGTTTGGAATTTACAAGGAAAGAGTATATTTTAAAGAAGTGAGTTTGGACTTAAACCTCAACATTCAATAGAAATGTTCATCAGGATGAAAGTTTCATTACTATAATGCTAAAATATGAGGGCCGGAGCCATAATACAACAGGTAGGGTAGTACAGCGGGGAGGGGGTTTGCCTTGCATGCGGCCCACCCTGGTTCGATCCTCGGAATTCCATATGGTCCCCCAAGCATCACCAGGAGTGATTCTTGAGCTCAGAGCCAAGAGTAACCCCTGAGCACCGCCAGGTGTCACCCAAAAAAGTCAAAAATAAATATAATAAATAGTGGATTTATAACTTTACACTAACAAAAGTAAGGGTCAGCAACAAAAATAAGGCACTTACCTTACACACAGTCAACTAGAGTCAATCCCTGGCACCCCATATAGTTCCCGACCCCTGACAGGAGTGATCTCTGAGCTCAGAGCCAAAAGCACCATCTCATATGGCCCCAAAACAAAATAAAAAAATCTAAGTACCTGAACGGTGAAACAAAAGATTCCAGCACAACCTCTTATAACTTGTTTTGACTTATTATTTAAGTTCACAGGTTGTTTCTTCAGTTAATGCTACCAATTCTCTTTTTTAGTGGGGGCAGGCTGCTAGGGATCAATCTGAGGCCCTCAAACACGTGAAGCGTGCTTTCTACCACCTGTGCTGTCTCCCCAACCCAAGGCAAAATTTTAACTGCAAAAACTGATCATGCTAAATTTTAAAATCCAGTCTTCGTTGATCATGATTTTTATTTTATTTTTTGGCTTTTTGGGTCACACCCAGCGATGCTCAGGGGTTACTCCTGGCTCATGCACTCAGGAATTGCTCCTGGAGGTGCTCGGGGGACCATATGGGATGCTGGGAATCGAACCTGTGTTGGCCATGTTGGCTGCGTGCAAGGCAAACAAACGCCTTACTCGCTGTGCTATCACTCTAGCCCCGATGATGATTTTTAAAAATTGGAAACATACTGTAATAATTTTTGAGAATTAACTATCAAAAAACAAGAGCATTTTGTATGAGCCGGTGGTGACGGGGAAACTACAACCTCATTGGAAGGGGGGCGTTCCCAGCTCGTTCTTCATGCCCTACTGAGGTCATGAGTTGCCCCCCCATGAGCTGCTCTCTGGCGCGGCCATGGCTCCAGAACCACAGAAAACAATCTTGTAATTATCTGGCTCTTGGCAGAAATCCCTCCAGACTTAATAAGCAAAATATCAGAAATCCAAAATCGCGCAGCCGCTATAGCGGCCTCACGACATCATATTGTTCTCATAACCAGCTGTAGAAAACAAATTATTTCACAATGCCTTTTCAGCAGTTCTGATTGTTGGGTGTAATTCTAAACAATAATGGTGCATCTTTTATCGAAATAATGAATGTAATCAAAGTAGATAGAGAGTTAAGTAGAATTCATCTGCCTCACAGGCATTGGGAGGGGTGGAAGGGGGGTATATTGGGGTTCTTGGTGGTGAAAAATAAGTACTGGTGAAGGGAAAGGTGTTTGATCATTGCATGACTGAGACTTAAACCTGAAAGCTTTCAACTTTTCCCACAGTGATTCAATAAATAAATAAATATAAAAAAGGAGCATTTTGGGGAAAATACAATGAAAAAATAACACCTAAATAGAAATAGAAACAACAAAGTTAGACTCACCATTATGAAAAGGCCACCATTTTGCTCAACTTCAGCAGTTTCCATTAGAAGTTCAATTGCCTTTTTGTTCCCAATTATCCTAACTACCCGGGCTATCAGATCTTTCTTAGGCTCCTGCAACCTAAAAAGGAACACATAAGCATTAGCCTCTTGATAACTCTTCCTTCTGTTCCCTCACTGGAACCCTTCTGCTGAGGCACTCACACACTTCTGGCAGTGCTGCTGATAGCTAATAGCAGAGATATGATCCTGGGATGGCGGGCAGTGCCAGAGACGGAACCGAAAGGCTCACTGGCCTCAGGCTGGCAAAGCAGCTGCAGAAACTCAAAGAAATCTACCTCAGTCTCTAAATTCCCAACTGGAGTCAAAACCCTATTTAATGACACTTGCTTTTTCTGAACTCTTTTATCAATATATGTAACCTCAGAATCACTGACATGAAGAAATTTCTTTTTCTCTGTATGGGGGACAGTCTGGGTCATACTGAACTGGGGTCGGCCACGTACAAGGCAAGTGCCATAACCTCTGTAATTTCCTCTCTGGCCCAATAAAAACATTTCTTTCTTTTTTTTGTTTTTTGCTTTTTGGGTCACACCTGGCGATGCACAGGGGTTATTCCTGGCTCATGCACTCAGGAATTACTCCTGGCGGTGCTCGGGGGACCATATCGAATGCTGGGAATCGAACCCGGGTCGGCTGCGTGCAAGGCAAACACCCTACCCGCTGTGCTATCGCTCCAGCCCCAACATTTCTATTTTGGATCCTCAAGAGAAAGGAATCATAAAACTCTTACCTCAGTAAGTTCTTAAAAAAAAAAAAAAGTCATGATTGGGGGCTTAGAGATAGTACAAGGGTTACAACACTTGCCTTGCATCCTGCTGACCCTGCTTCTATCCCCAGCACTGAAAAGGTGCCCTGAGCACAGCCAGGAGTCACTCCTGAACACCAACAGGTAGGGCCCCAAAACAAAACTGTTGAGGGAAAAAAAAAGTCCATGATTATATGAAAACACTAAAACAAAAACCATGATTTTAAGTTTGGGCCCCTGGGGATGCCCTGCTTTGCAAGCATGAGGCCAAGAGTTTGACCCCAAGTGATAGGCACATGCACAAAGTATGGACCCCATGCTCTGCTGTCCGGGACCCCTGACACTTCACAGAATATGTGGCCTCTAGCACACAGCGGAGAATGTGCAGACTGTATCTAGAAAGTGTGCAAAGCCCTGTGAGCATTTGCATGAATATTAGAGTGAGCACTACAGAGTCTACTCAAGCACAGCAACCAATGAGAGTGAGCGACACAACCAAGTATGTGTGATCCCTGGCATCACAGTAACAAGAGAAAAAAAATAAAAAATTAAAATAGAAGCTTTTATTGAAGGGGTTCTAAAGCACTGAATGCAAAGAGAATTAAGAACCAAGTAGGATCTTGCGTAAATTAAGAAATTACTCTGTAAGGGCTGTTCAAACTTAGAACCCCCAAATAGGGACCAGAGAGATAGCACCGTGGGGAAGGCGCTATCCTCCATGTGGTTGACCCCAGTTTGATGATGCCTGGTGCCGCATATGGTCCCTCAGTCACTGCCTGGAGTGACCCCTGAGCGGCGGGTCAGCCTCACATCCCCCTCTCCCCCATAAATAATATAGGGCAGAAGGTGTTTGCAGTGCATGCAGTGGATTCCAGGTTTTGATTTCCTATATCACATTGTAGGCAGGATAGGGAAGGCGCCCTCCCAAGGCAATGGCAAACTTTGCAGAAAATAGGAAAAACAGGAACTAAGGCCTGAAAGACCCTCACCTACAGCAACAGACCCAGAGAGCTCCAACAGAAACAAAAGACCAGGAAAGGAATTTCAAAGAAGACCATCACCACTCCCAACCCCCTTGGTAACCTCCTTAGCAACGGACTTAGGCCTAAAGCCCCACAAGGGGGTAGGTTGGAGAAACCTTATAAAGGCCACCCTGAACAAAGGAAGCTTCCTCTTGCACCCACATGGCCGAGCACATGTGTCACCCACATTTCCCCTCTTGAGATGTGTTTTCATGCTTTCATGTCTAATGCTGGGATGTGTGTAGGGGCTCTCTCCTCCCTTAGAGAGTCCATGCATTACCCTCCACTCTCTCCCACTTCCTCCTCCTCCTCCTCCCCTTTAAAACCTCCAAATAAAGTCTGTTTTACTTCACTGCTTGTCTACTCCTGAAATTCTCTTCTGCGTGATGAGACAAGAACCCTCTCCCGGGTGGCAGAGGTGGATCGGGAGAAAGTGACCATCTTTCTCCTCCCCATTTCACATTAAGTCACTTGCAGGGCCCACCGACATCGGTATGTTCCCCTGAGCAGAGCTGTGAGTGGCCCAATCCCCCTCTGCAAATATATTCCAATAACCAAGTAAGCCAAAGTTCATTTTCTAAGTATAAAGATTGTCACTAGAACCAGAGTCATATTATAGCAGGCAGGGTGCCTGCCTTGCACAGGGCTGACCTGGCTTCAATCCCTGACATTCCATACAGACCCCTGAGTCCCAGCTGGCAAGATCCCTGAGCAAAGAACCAGGAGTGACCCCTGAGCACACCGGGAGTGGCCCCAAAACAAAAACAAAAACAAAAGGCCATTAATCATTTTTACATTCCCAGCAACCCACGTGATTCCTGAGCACAGAGTCAAGGTAAGCCCTGAGCACTGGTGGGTGTGGCCTATAAACCAAAAAAAGAAAAAGATTATCACTAATCTATCTGGAATCTATTCTATTTCTTGTAAGTGGAAGGTAATAATGTTCAAGTGTTCATTTGCGGAACAAATTGTTTTGGGATCACACCCAACAGTGCTCCTGGGATGGAACCAGGGTCTCCTGCATAAAACTCATGCACTCTTTTTTTTTTTGCTTTTTGGGTCACACCTGGCGATGCACAGGGATTACTCCTGGCTCTGCACTCAGGAATCAGCCCTGGCAGTGCTCAGGGGACCATATGGGATGCTGGGAATTGAACCTGGGTTGGCCGCGTGCAAGGCAAACGCCCTACCCGTTGTGCTATTGCTCCAGCCCCAAAACTCATGCACTCTTAACCCAAGAACCATCTTTTCAGCCCTATAAAAAATTTTATTTTTTATTTTTTGCTTTTTGGGTCACACCCAGCGATGCACAGAGGTTACTCCTGGCTCTTCACTCAGGAATCACCCCTGTCAGTTGCTCAGGGGACCATAACGGGATTCTGGGAATCGAACCCAGGTTGGCCGCATGCAAGGCAAACGCCCTACCCGCTGTGCTATTGCTCCAGCCCCCCTATGGGAAAATTTAAATGCTCACCTGAAAGAAATCTCATCAGCCACTTTCTCCTGAGGATCATCCTCTGTGATCTCATACCGGCCTTTATAGTTCATTTCTAGTCTGTCTCCCAGTCTGTCTTTGACAGATCGTTTTCGTTTGAGATGACCTTGCCCGTTTTCCTCTTCCCTTGCGTCTGGCTTTTTGCCACTGTGCATATATTCATCGAGCTCTTTGTCTAGTTCTTTTGTATGCTCTTGAAATTCCTTCCTGAGTTTCTTAGCAAGCAAATAGTTGTAAGTCTCCGACTGCCTGCTTTTGTCGATGGTGCCCTCCATTCCCAAGATTCCAAGTTCGGTGGCCACTGCATCTTGGTTCTGTTCCTGCAGCACAGCACCCCAGATGTTGTTCACCTTTTTCCCTCCAGCAGGTACTTTCTGGATGTTCTGGCCAAAGGGAAAAGGCTCTGGCTTGGGAGGAGGGTTACAGCACTTTTGCCGCTTGCGTTTCCACAGAGAGCTATCGTCATCAGAATCAGAAAAACTCTCTTCGCTTGAATCCACACTCTTAACAGTCCGGTAGTGGGAAGCTGGAGCACATGCGGTGGCTGTGGCCTGGAAGGGCCTCACTGTGCTGTCTCCACACAGGACTTTCTGCAAGTGAAAGGAAATACAACCAGTTCCACAAAACACAGCCTCCATCCATCACGTTCCAGTACACAAACACAAAAACCACTTAAGGATTCAACTGGGCCTTTAAAAAAAAATGGGAGGTGGGGGGGTGGGTGAGGGGGCGGTATCAGGAGTATCTAGTTCTGGGCTTCATACTTGGTCTCCTACTTGAGTCACATCCCTGGCCTCGCCTGGTCCTTTTCTCTTTTTTTTTAAATTTATTTTTTAAAAATTTGCCTTCTGGGTCACACCTGGCAATGCTCAGGGACTACTCCTAGCTCTGCACTCAGGAATTACTCCTGGTGGTGCTTCAGGACCATATGGGATGTCGGGGGATCAAATCTGGGTTGGTGGTGCGCAAGGCAAATGCCCTAGCCACTGTACTATCACTTTGGCTCCAACACCTGGTCAATTTTGACATAGAACTACCAAGGCATCCCTGAAACCAATCCAATTCCTACTTCTCTAAACTTTCATGTGGAATGTGCTTACTTTATCTACCCCCCCCCCCCCACAAGACTCCCAAACCATCAGGCAGCAGCAGAGTAAGCAAACCAAGGAACTAAGGACCTCCGCTTGCACCAGCTCTCTGTACTTCCACATAAAGTCCCTGAGTATCACCAGGAATGATCCCTGAGCTCATTCAAGAATAAGCCCTGAGTTTATTCTGGGTGTGGCCCCGAAACTACCCCCTTTCCCCACAGATTTTTTTTAAACGGCACTGCTACGCTTTTGCTTTTTTTGTTAATACTACTGGAAGCATATGCTGAACTCCTTTTATATACTAAAAATGGGGAAGAGGAAGGGATTGAGTCATTGATAGTCTTCTTATCATTTCTGTTGGGGGGGGGGTCACACTCCATACTCATGGTTCATTCCTGGCTCCGTGCTCTGAGATCACTCCTGGCAATGCTCATAGGGCCATTTAGGGCCTCGGGGACAGAACTGGGATGGACTGCATGCAAGGCAAGTGCTTTAACCCGTGTAGTATCTCTCTGGCCCGAGTCTTCTTCTCTTCACAAAACCACAAGCACCTAACAAACATCAGGCTCTGCTAGGTGAAGGCATGTCTGGCTGAACCTCACCATCATCGTGCTCAGCTGCAAGATCTGCTTGCCCATCCCACACCAACCTTATGGGCGCGAGCACTGCGCCGGGAGCAAGCTCACTACCCCGGACCCCCCCCCGCCCCGCCCCCCCCGCGCCGGGCACCGAGGCCCTCTCAGACAGCTCGCGCCCTGCTGTGATACTAAAGACACGCCGATCCGTTAGCAAAAAAAAAAAAAAAAAGAAAAAGAAAAAAACCTGGGACACCCGGGCCGGAAGAGAGTACAGCGGGAAGGGGGCCTGCCTCGCACACAGCCAAGCCGGGTTCGGTCCCGGGCATCCCTGATGGTCCTCATGAGCCCCGCGGGGATAACTCCGGGATGCGGAGCCAGGAGGAAGCCCTGAGCATCGTTGGAGCGGGGAGGACCCCACAGCCTTACAGCCGCAAACCCGCAAGACTGAGCGCGGCAGGCGGGAACGCGGACGATCATTCCCCCCCCCCCCCCCCGGGAGGAACCCCTCCCCTCCCCCGGTGCTCGCTCTTCCTCCCCCACCCCCATCCAGGCTACCCAGGCGGGTCGCCAACCGGCGGCCGCGGCGGTCCCAGCTGCCCTCCCGGGAAGAGCCGGCCCGGGAAGCGCGTCCCCCGCCAAGGCGGCGCGGCGTGGCCGAGGCGGAACAGGCCCCGGCGGGCCCCGCAACGGCCGCCCGGAGCCGCGGCCGCCCCGCCCGCGCGCCCCGCCGCGGCCGCCCGCCCCGCCGCGCTCACCGGCGCCGGCAGCGGCCGCTCGCTGGGGGCGACCGTCATGTCGGAGTCCGAGTCGGAGAGCTGCCCGTCCTCCATGTCGCCGGCGTCCTGCGCCATCTTCCCGCAGCGCCGCGGCTCGGGAGCGCACTTCCGGCGGTGCGGCGGCGGCGGCGGCGCGGGCGGCCCCGCGCTCCCGGGGCCCGGCCGGGCCCTGTCGGCTTCCCGCGCGGCGCGGCGCGGCGGCGCAGGCCCGAAGGCACCGCCCGGCCCCCTGCAGCTCCCGCTCGCGCCGGCCGCCCGGCCGCTTTCTCCCCGGGCCCGCACTCTGCACGCGGCTCCCCCCCACCCTGCACGGCGCCTGCGGTCTTCCTCGGACCGTCTGGCTTCTGGGACTGGGCGGGGTGGGGGAGGGTCACTCCTTGGCTCTGCGCGGAGGGGACCTTTAGCAGTGCCAGCGCTTCGAACCGGAGTTGGGCCCCTGCAAGCCTTTACGATCGGGAGGAGGGGATGGGGGGAGGGGAGCTGGGTTTTCGATTTGCTATTTGGACCGCACGTTCCCTGATCCCCCGGGCACTCTGTTACTCTGTTTAAGCGAGACCTTTGGCATTGCCGTTGTGTTTGCGCAATAGAGCTCTCAGGCAGCGCTCTGGAGACCAAAAGGGGACCTGGGGGATCGAACCCACGTCAATCTGGAGCAAGGCAACCTGCTGTACCGTATGCCTAACTACGTGGGGAGGAGCCATCTTCACTTTACACATTCAAATTGCTGTCTCTTTTGTTTCAACAGATATCTGGCGTGTGTCCTCCCCTGCAAAAAAACCTTTTGACTCGATTACATTTAAGATTTTATTTAATCTATAAATTTGAGGACGAACTAACATTTAACAGTTGGGCAACTGTTAACAGTTCTTGGCAACTATTGGTTTACTATCACTGTAGTTTATTCTTCTCTGTTATTGCAGCACAGAAGAATTATTTAGTGTAAAGTGTTTTGTGTCTGACTTTTTCCCATCTAGTGTGATGTATTTGAAATTTTTCTAGGCTGTTATATTATCTTTCAAGCATTGCAAGGTGTGGTCTCCCCCACTCCACAGGGGGAAAAAAAAACCAACCATAAGTTGTGTTTGATTTGCAACAAATTGTCTTTTGTTTGGGGATCATGATAAGGAGCTAGTCCTGACTCAGTTTAGGAGTTGCTTCCAGCAGTGCTCAGGGGACCGAGGAATGCTGGAGATTGAACCCAGGTTTCTTCTTGCAAGGCATGTGCTCCAGTCTGTTGAGAAATCTCTGCAGTCCCCTTGGTTGATACTAACTGGAGCTGCAGTTTCCCTATGTCCTATCCAGTACTTGTATTAATTACAGTCCTACCTCCTGCCTCTCATAGCAGACTTTCACGAATCACGACCATCCTGTTATTTGTCGATTGCCTTGAGCAGGCCCTAGTAACGTCTCCTTCATCCTAGCCCTGAGATTTTTAAGAAAGTGCTATATTCAAGGCTCTTTAGGAGAATGAGACCCATCATTGTTACTGGTATTTGGCATATTGGGTACGCCACAGGGAGTTTGCCAGACTCTGCCGTGGGGGCAGGTTACATTCGGTAGCCTGCCAGTTTGTCCAAAATAGGAATGAGATAATAAGATGTCATAATAAGCAGACTTTCACCAGTCCTAAATCTCTCATGTACTTCCCTGGGAGACAGAGGTGGGTAGAGAAAAGTGGTAGATTTCTTGCTCGAGGCTGCCTTCTCTCTCTTCCACACTTCACATAAACCACCCAGGACCCCCCACCAACAGTATGATTATCTTTGGGGTCATACGGAGTGGTGTTCCAGACCTACTCCTGGTTTGGTGCCAGTGCCCTTGGTTTATTCAGACCCTAATGGAGCAGATGTGCCTAAATACATCTACATGGGGAGGGGCCATCTTCACTTTACACATTCAAATTGCTGTCTCTTTTGGAAACACCTTCATAGACACACCCAGAAATAATGTTTAAGCAGATATCTGGGCATCCTACAGTCTACTATATCAGTGCATGTAAAGTCATAATTCAGTGTGGTTTTCATTTGTAGCTCCCTGGTAACCATATTGCACACTTTCACATGTTTCTTTACTTATTTGTGTATCACCTTTCTTTTGAGTGTGTTCAAATTTTTGTCCTTTAGAAAAAAAGAATTTCCTTCTTAAGTATAAGCTGTCTATATTTTGGAAGGAAGCTCTATCATCTGAAAAAGCACACAAAGATGAATAGAAAAGGAATTTATTGACATGAAAGCAACTGAAGTTGGGAAGGATGTACACCAGCATTGGCTGGAGAACAGTTTTGAAGAAAGGGGATAGGGAGTCTGCTTTTCTGCCTAATGGAGACAGAGTGATGTGACAGTGTATTTATATTCTAGTAGCTTTCAGGGAACTTCACACTTATTCATGAGGGAGAATTGAGCATGAGCAATTGAGAAATATATCACGAATATTTGTCACATATATGGAAAATGGCAGAGAAATTTCATCAGGGTGTGTTTTTAGCAATGATGAAGAGGAAGGTGACTAAAAGTTAAAATGGGCTCTGCAGTCTCCACTGGCCTGTCTTGGTGGGCATGGGGTTCTTTATAGACAAACATGTTTAAAGTTCACCCTTGAGCCAATTACAACCAAGGGAATGCAACAGGGTAGCTACTCTCGCAGGGAGAGGGTGTCACACCTCCAATTGTTTCTTTTAGCTTTTCCTAACCCCTAATTTAGAGATTCTAAATTCCACAACCACTCCCCAGAGAAGGGATGGTCACGGTCATGGTCCTCCCGTTGTTCAACAATTTGCTCAAGCGGGCCCAGTAACATCTCAATCGTGAGACTTGTTACTGTGTTTGGCATATTGAATACGTCATGGGTAGCTTGCCAGGCTTTGCCTTGCGGGCGAGATGCTCTCGGTAGCTTGCTAGGCTCTCTGAGAGGGGCGGAGGAATTGAACCCGTCTCGGCCAGGGCCAACTGCGCGCAAGGCAAATGCCCCACCGCTGTGCTATCGCTCAAGCCCAGAGAAGGGACAAAGTTGCTATATGCTTTGACATCTTTTCATCATAGATATGTATATAACTGATAAAGGGATTAAAAATAGAACTTCTGGGGCTGGAGTAATAGCACAGTGGGTAGGGCGTTTGCCTTGCACTCAGCCAAGCCGGGTTTGATTCCCAGCATCCCATATGGCCCCCTGAGCACCGCCAGGGGAATTCCTGAGTGCAGAGCCAGGAGTAACCCCTGTGCATCGCCAGGTGGACCCAAAAAGCAAAAAATAAAATAAAATAAAATAAAATAAAAGAAATAGAACTTCTATCAGTGAGTGCTTTTTTCTTTTTCTTTTTTTGGGTCACACCCAGTGATGCACAGGGGTTATTCCTGGCTCATGCACTCAGGAATTATTCCTGGCAGTGCTTGGGGAGCCATATGGGATGCTGGGAATCGAACCAGGGTTGGCTGTGTGCAAGGCAAATGCCCTACCGCTGTGCGATTGCTCCAGTTCTTCTATTAGTGCTTTTCACATTCTCAAAAACATATTTGCAAGAGCAGAAGTACAGTTTATGCTCTTATATGATTTATGTTTTTTTTGTGTCCTCTCTAAAACTCTTCGCCTAAACCGGTGTTTCTTAGCTTGGAACTCTTTATTCTATAGGAAATATTTGGCAATGTCTGAAGAATTTATCTATATCTATATATGTATATGTATACACACAGAGATATATATGTGTGTGTGTGTATTTGGGGGCCACACCTGATGATGCTCAGTGCTTACTCCTGGCTCTCCACTTAGGGATCACTCGTGGCAGGCTTGGAGGACCATATGGGGTGCTGGGAGTTTAGCTCTGGCTGCCCATGTGCAAGGCAAATTCCCTACCCTCTATGCTATCACTCCAGCCCTGAACTATATTTTTAAAATGAGTTTTAAGATTGAACCTAGGTCGGCACATGCAAGGCAATCACCATACCTATTATACTCCCCAGCCCCTGGAGAATCTTTTGTTTATGGTAACTAGAGCCACTCCTGTTAAGTATTTGGTAGGATGTCTGGGATGCAGTTGAACATCCTATATTGCAGGGAACAGCTCTCATAATAGACTTTGCTCTGGAAATTGTAGAGTTTGGGCTCTTACCTTATATCTATACTCAGTTGTTGTATGAAGTGAGTAGAGTCAAGGTTCATTTTATTGTTGTTTTTTTGGACCATACCTGGGGGTGGGGTGGTATTTCGAGCTTACTCCTGGCTTTGAGCTCAGGGATCACTCTTGGTGATTGGGAGGGAACCATATGTGGTGCTGGAGATTGAACCCAGGTCAGCTGCATGTAAGGTAAGTGCCCTACTGACTGTACTATTGCTTTGGCCCTCAACATTTTAAATATAGAAATATGCAATTAGGGCTGGAGAAACAGTACAGTGAGTAAAGCTCTTGTCTTGCACACAGACGACCTGTGTTTGATCCCGGCATCCCATATGGTTCTCCAAGCACTGCCAGGAGTGGTCCCTGAGCATCCCCAGGTGGGGCTCCAAAAAAAAAAAAAAAGGAAAAAAGCAATTAATACAGCACCATTTGTTGAAGATTATTTTGCCCCATTGAATTTGCTTCGGATTGGATCGGGGCGAGCATCCTCCACCCAGATCCTCCAAATTCCAGTAGGCGGGGGTCACACCCACCAACTGGCCCCCTGGCGCCGTGTAATCCCATCAACAGCCAAGACTCAGAGACTATAAAACCCAGCTCCCGGAAGCACGCGGCTGCATTTGTGGCCGTGCAACATTTTATTATGACATCTTATTATCTCATTCCTACTTTGGACAAACTGGCAGGCTACCGAATGTAACCTGCCCCCATGGCAGAGTCTGGCAAACTCCCCGTGGCGTACCCAATATGCCAAATACCAGTAACAATGAAGGGTCTCATTCTCCTAACTCTGAAAGAGCCTTGAATATGGCACTTTTTAAAAAATCTCAGGGCTAGGATGAAGGAGACGTTACTGGAGCCTGCTTGAGGCAATCGACGAATAACAGGATGGTCGTGATCATGAATTTGCTTGATACCTTCATTGAAAATTTACTAAAAGGTAAAGGTAAAGGCCCTCCCGTTGTTCGTCGATTTGCTTGAGCAGGCCCAGTAACGTCTCCATTGGAGACTTTGTTGTTACTGTGTTTGGCATATCGAATACGTCACGGGGAGCTTGCCAGGCTCTGCCGTGCAGGCGAGATACTCTCGGTAGCTTGCCAGGCTCTCCGAGAGGGGCAGAGGAATCGAACTCGGGTCGGCCATGTTGGCTGCGTGCAAGGCAAACGCCCTACCGCTGTGCTATCGCTCCAGCCCGAAAATTTACTAATATAAAAAAATTTACTAATATATTTACATATATTTATGACTCTATTTCTGGAGTTTTCTGTTTTGTTCCATTGAGCTTTGTCTGTCTTTACTTTCTTGGGCGGGAGAGACATTTCCTTTACTTGCCTCATATGCTTTAGTTAGGATCTGGTTTGATCTCTAGCACTGCCAGGTGTAACCCAAGCCCTATCCCCTTTCCTCCAAAAAATACTTTCTTGATTAATGCAGTTTTTAAAGCATAAGCTTACAGTAATTACAACGAGATAAATTTAGAGGCTGACGCCGGTAGAGAGTTTGCCTTGCACTGTCTGACCCAGCTTCTGTTTCTGGGACCCCACATAGTCCCCCAAGACCTAGTAGAGGTGATCCCTGAGTGCAGAATCAGGAGTAAACCGTGAACACCAGGTGTGTCCTCAACGCCCAATCCCCCCGCACTCCAAAAAAACCAACAAAAACCAACGGAACAAAATTAGGTAGTTTTAAATGTGTTCTCACACTGCCTTAAATTTTTATTGGCTGCGTTGGGAAGATAGCTGCAAGGGCTGGAGTACCAGCATTGCACAAGGAAGGCCTCTGGGATCATTACTGGTACCATACGGTCTCCTGAACACCGTGGGGAGTGACCCCGGAGCACTGCACTGGGAGTAGATTCCAGCACCCCAGATGGTAGCCCCCAAACAGAGAAGCAAAATCAGCTTTCTTTGTTACTTGAAAGCAAGCCCAGATAGGATGTTTAGGACTACCGTGCTGAAGACGGTTTCTGGCTTGTGCCGCGATTCCGGGTGTTTTTCACCAGATGGCAGCAACCCTCTCCTCTCTCCTGCTCCCCTTTGTTCCTGGCGGGGTTTCGGTCGGGACTTCACTGTGAGACCCGGGCCACGCGGTGGGGTGGGGTGGGGCGGGACTGGGGGGCGGGGCCTGGAGGTGGGGCGGGGCCATCCCTGTCCAATGGGCTCTCCCGGGCGGGGGGCGGGGCTCTATTTCAGCGGCTCCACTGGCCGCCGGCGCAGCTCGCGTTCCGACCTCGGTATGTGGCGCGTGTCCCGCCCGCTGTACGTGCACTTTGCCCGGAGGTCCAGCCTCGCAGGCCCAGGGAACGCCGCCTTCATGTCGTCCTTGCTCATCAATCAGCCCAAGTACGCTTGGCTGAAGGAGCTGGGGCTCCGCGAGGAAAACGAGGGCGTGTATAATGGAAGCTGGGGAGGCCGGGGAGAGGTACGCGGGCGCCCCGGGAAATCTCGGCGGTCCGGGAGGGCTCGGGGAGGGCGGGGCCCCGAGCTCCGTGGCTGCAGGGCATTGTTCTTGCACCCCTCGTGTGCACGCGCCGAGGCAAAAGTTAACTTCTGTAGGGTGCTTTAAGACCCACCCGGGAGATTTTAGGGCCCCGTGTGTTGCGGAGAAACTAGGTCCTTCTGGAGCTGGTAGGAGTTAAATTTCCGCGATGACTTAAAACTTTTATGGCGGAGTCCTACTGTCTTGTAGTGAGATCTGCCGCAGACGTGGCAGTGATTTTTCTTTTATTTCGAGCGCGGCTGCCGCTTCCGAGGCGCCCCTCGCCGCAGGTAAACGCTCGTTAGTGTTGTTTGTATTGTCTTCTCTCCGGAAATCCCTAGGAGTCTGCAAACTTGGACTTGCCGCCTTCTTGGCCTGTGTTCCTTGAACGCTGAGCTTCCTTAAGGGACTGACTGGGTTGAATCATGTTTCTTTATTGCCCAGAGCCCAACTCCATAGCTGGAGGCCAGTTTGTGCTCGTTAAAAGTTTTGCTTACGGAACGTGAAGGAAGGGAAAGGTAAGATTACCTGCTTGCTGGAGAGCTGCATACAAAGGAGAGCTTTGATCAGAAAATGTTATACAACATCCAACAACATCAACTTTGTTGAATATTATATAGTAAAGCTGCCCGGTTACAGTAATCTTTTTTTTTGTTGTTGTTGTTGTTGTTGTCTGTAGGAGATAACCAAAGATGGGGGGGGGTGTATCTTTAATTATTCTTTAAGCTCCTCCATTCCATTTGGTAGAAGTAGGCTAACGAATAAAACACCTTCTCCTGAGGCCTTTGAAAGCTGTGCCTGTGTTACCTGTAACTGGCCTTTACATGGTTTTCTGGCCTTGACCACTCACCTTGACCACTTCTGACCTTAGGGTCATCCGGTAAGGGAGAGAAGAAATGGGTAGACATATTACTTTGGTCTATTGTAAATGGAAGAAGAGCTGGAATAACTGGTTACATCAATTTTTTTTCATTTATATACCTAATATTTAGATGTTAAGGGTGGTTCCTAATATTTAGAAAAGAGTTAAAGGCATTGGATTGGGAAGTAGCTTAGTGGTAGAGCATTCATCTTGCATGTGTGAGACCCTCCACCCCTTAACCTATCCCCATAAAGTTATACAAACCTTGTAGAGTGTCTTATTTGTAGTAATTAATTTAAAGATCCAGTTTGGATACTGCATTTTATTTTTTTCCTTCCTGTTTGGCTTATTTCCCTTTGTTTAGGAAGGGATTATCTTTTTTGAGAAATGATGGCCGCTTTTTTTTCCCCTTTCCATAGGTTATCACAACCTATTGCCCTGCTAACAATGAACCGATAGCCAGAGTCAGACAGGTAAGTTTTTTTTTTTTTTAATTCAAACTGCCAGATTAAGAGTATTACAAAATGACACAAAGAATGTGTGTTTCTTTTTCATTTGCTATTTTAAACTGGGAGTGATGGCCCACACTGTGTGTGTGTGGTGTGGGGTGTGTGTGTGTGTGTGTGTGTGTGTGTGTGTGTGTATGTGTATGTCCCCTAAACCTGATGAGATCTGGGGAAAAAAGTGCACCTAGGTCAGTGCTTCTGCACCCCACTGTATCCCAAAGTCTTTGTTTTTTATTTGTTTTGGGGTGCCGTACCCAGTGGTGCTCTTTGGATGCTTGGAGCAGTGCCAGGAATCAATCAAATCCAGGCCTCCTGGATGCATAAAATGCACATAGCCGGGTGTATGTGTAGTCTGGCTCTGTGTAGTCTGAATTCTTTTTTTTTTTTTTTTTTTATTTATTTATTGAATCACTGTGGGAAAGGTTACAAAGCTTTCAGGTTTATGTCTCAGTCATGCAAATATCAAACACATTTCCCTTTACCAATACTTATTTTTTACCATGAAGAACCCCAATAAAACCCCACCACCCACCCCTCCCCGTCCCTGTGAAGCAGATGAATTCTAGTTGACACTCTATCTGCTTTGATTAGATTCATTGTTTCAATAAAAGATTCACCACTATTATTTAGAGTTTACCCCCCCCCCCCCCAAATCAGACATGCTGAAAAAGCATTGTGAAGTGATTTGCTTTCTACGGCTGGGTTCAAGAATTAAATGTTGGTTTTGGATTTCTGCTCTTTTACCTATTGACCCTGGAAGTATTTCTACTGAAAGTCAGATAGTTAAGAAATTGGTTTCTGTGTTCTGGAGTCCTGGCCGTGCTGGAGAGCCGCTCGCGGGGGGCAACCGGTGGCCTCGGTAGGGCGTGAAGGGCGGACCGAAACGCCCCCCTTCCCATGAGGTTTTAGTCGCCCCCACACTCCCGGCTCATACCTGCTGTCCACAAGGCTCCCATGTGGCCGCCATCTTTCTTTCCAAAGAGGAGAGGGCGAATGGGGCAACACCCTTTCCCCTCCGGCAGACTTGATGGCCTGGATCAATGCAGAGTCCGTTCACTTTTCTGCTCCAAGCTGCTGGGTTCTGCATTAAGTCCTTGTGCTTCTGGGGCCGTGGCCGTGCTGGAGAGCCGCTCGCGTGGGGCAACTGGTGACCTCGGTAGGGCGTGAAGGACGGACCAGAACGCCCCTCTTCCCATGAGGTTTTAGTCGCCCCCACACCCCCGGCTCATACCTGCTGTCCACAAGGCTCCCATGCGGCCGCCATCCTTCTTTCCAGAGAAGAGAGGGCGAATGGGGCAACACCCTTTCCTCTCCGGCAGACTTGATGGCCTGGATTAACGCATAGTCCTTTCACTTTTCTGCTCCAAGCTGCTGGGTTCTGCATTAAGCCCTTGTGCTTCTGGGGCTGTGGCCGTGCTGGAGAGCCGTTCGTGGGGGGCAACTGGTGACCTCGGTAGGGCGTGAAGGACGGACCGGAACGCCCCCCTTCCCATGAGGTTTTAGTCGCCCCCACACCCCCGGCTCATACCTGCTGTCCACAAGGCTCCCATGTGGCCGCCATCTTTCTTTCCAGAGAGGAGAGGGCGAATGGGGCAACACCCTTTCCCCTCCAGCAGACTTGATGGGCTGGATCAACGCATAGTCCGTTCACTTTTCTGCTCCAAGCTGCTGGGTTCTGCATTAAGTCCTTGTGCTTCTGGGGCCGTGGCCGTGCTGGAGAGCCGCTCGTGAGGGGTGACTGGTGACCTCGGTAGGGCGTGAAGGACGGACTGGAACGCCCCCCTTCCCATGAGGTTTTAGTCGCCCCCACACCCCCGGCTCATACCTGCTGTCCACAAGGCTCCCATGCGGCCGCCATCCTTCTTTCCAGAGAAGAGAGGGCGAATGGGGCAACACCCTTTCCTCTCCGGCAGTGTAGTCTGAATTCTTAAGTCCAAGTGGAAGTCTGCATCTCCAAGAGAGAAACCTCCAGGTGAGATTCAGCATTTCCAATACTCCTGTGCTGAGGCCGGGAGACCTGGCTTGGAGAAACAAGGTTCACACAAAGCAACAGCCAGATTCTACCTTGTCTTCCTGGGTTCTGTATTTTGGAAGGCCAGGCTCTGTGGTGTTAAAGATCCTGAGATCTTAAAGGTCACCCAGAGATTTTCTCAGTTCTTTTCTGAAAACAGTAGGATTTCCAGAAGGAGCTCATCATGTTTCTTTCCTTTCCCTATGTCTTCCCTGGATTCTTAATATAGGCCAGCATAGCTGACTATGAGGAAACCATGAAGAAAGCAAGAGAAGCATGGCGAGTCTGGGCGGATGTAAGTGTGATGTCCTCATCCTGACTGTGCCACCAAAGAGGGCACAAAGAGGGCCCTTTGTAACTGCAGCGTGATTAAGTGACACTAGATGAGCTGCTCAGTGCTCCCTGGTAGAGATGGCAGCTCCTGGTGTGTGTCTGTGTATGTGCGTAGGAGGGATGCTCTGGTAATCTCTGCTGTGGTCTAGGGTAATGCTTTTTCCATATTTACCCTTCAGTAAATTGGGCATTTTAAGTGGATAATGTTCTGCACTAGGGGCTGGGGATGTGGCTCAAATGATTTAACACATGCCTAGGAGGAATCCATCTCTAACACTACCTGCACCCCTTCCATACCCCTCCATCAGAGAGGCCATGAGCCTCAAGTGCTGCCCAGCAATGGCCCTGATAACAATAGCCAAAAAACAAACAAACAAACAAACAAAACCCCCCAAAACCACACATACACACAAAAGACTACTGATATAGCCCAGACATGCTATAAACCTTTGATGGTTCAACCAAAGTTCCTTGGCCTGATGGTAATGGAGCAAGACGAAAGCCATGCCAAAATGCTAAAACTGCTTGTTGGATTCTGGTCTTCCCTCCCCCTGCTAGGTCTGTTTGTGAGGGAGGACATAGGGGCTCCTCCTCCTGGTCCAAAGAGCAGTGACCACAGTTATGACTGCAGTGGCCTTTCAGCGGGCAGGGGCTGGAGTTCCTGCTCTGGTCTGGCCCGGACAGGCCTCTGGGTCTCCGACTGCGGGTAGCTGAGCAAATGTAGAGCTTTAACTGGGCGGGGTCTCTGGACTGCTACTGCTTGGATCTGGAATCTGGGAGAAAGGGTTCCCCTCTCCTTTCTCTTTTGTACACCAGCAGAGATTTTAGGCCTGAGGCTTTGGGACTGTCCTGGGTTTCTCCCTTCTGGGAGATTTATTTTGTAAAAGGGGAGACCAGGTTTTGCCTACAGTCTCACCCCCTTTTCCTTTTCTATCAGAGGGTTAAGTTGAGTTAATCATTGGCTGAGACTACAGGGAGCCTGGCACAGGGCCCATGCAAGTGTGACGCCCCAGGGCTGCTGAGCCAGCAATTTTCTCTGTGGGCTGATGGATTGCTTAGGGACTGCTGGGAGAGCGACTTGGGAGGAAGCCCTGGGCTGGATACATTTTAACACTTAGAGACCTAGTTTGTATCAGAAACACAAAGGATGACTTTCCTTTAACTAGTTCTGTCTGGAAATTAATCTCATTCAGGGTTCCATTATATACTGTCAAAAAATACTTTTGAGGGCCAGGCATGTAGTTCATGGGTAAAGTGTATGCGGAGCATGTATGAGAGAGAGAAAAAAAGTCCTTGAACATAAAAATATTCTTTCTTTTAATTTTTGTCTGTTTTTTGTGCCACGCCCAGTGGTGCTCATTGGTTACGCCTGGCTCTGCACTCAGGCAGTGATCCAGCCAGGTCAGCTCTGGGCCGTCAAATGCCCTTCCTGCTGTATTGTCTCTCTGAACCCCCCTTTTTTGTGGTTTCTTTCTTTCTTTCTTTCTTTCTTTCTTTCTTTCTTTCTTTCTTTTTTTGTTTTTCGAGGGGGCTACCCTTGGAGTGCTCAGGGTTTACTCCTGACTCTGCACTCAGGGTTCTCTGCTGGAGGTGCTTGGGGGACCATCTAGGGTGCCGAGGACCGAAGACAACGGGCCACATGCAGGCAAATGCCTTACACCCAGCGATGCACAGGGTTCACTCCTGGCTCTGCACTCAGGAATTACCCCTGGCAATGCTTAGGGGATGATATAGGATGCTGGGAATCAAACCTGGGTCAGTCGCGTGCAAGACAAATGCCCTACCCTCTGTGCTATCTCTCCAGCCCCTAAATAGGTTAATTTTTAAGAGTCATTTTAGGTTACAGTTTAAGGGAAGAAAATTTTTCTCTTATTGCCTCCTAGGTTCTGTCGCTGGTTTTATAATTAAATTAATATAAGATAGATTAACTGCAGAAAGCAAAATTTAAATTTTGCACTTGTGATCCTCAAGCTCACCATACAGATATGAAATACAAATGCAAATAGACAAGGCTTATGCATCCTCCTAAACTAAGGAGAAGGAGTTGGGGACTCTGGGCTTAAAAGAGAAAAAAAGGTCTTTTATAGGCAGAATCAACAAAGGTGAGATGAATAATGTGTAGCCTGCCACAGAGAGTTTAGACTTCTCTATAGAGAAGTTTTCACTGGTGAAAGTGTGAGCATGAGGCTGAGTTTGATACCTGTTGTCAGCGATAGTACAGTGGGTAAGGCGTTTGCCTTGCAAGCAGCTAACATGGCCGACCCGAGTTTGATTCCTCCGCCCCGCTCGGAGAGCCGGGCAAGCTACTGAGAGTGTCTTGCCCGCACGGCAAAGCCTGGCAAGCTACCCGTGAAGTATTCGATATGCTGAACACAGTAACAACTGTCACAGTGGAGACGTTACTGGGTCCGCTTGAGCAAATCAGTGAACAATGGGAGGACAGTGACAGTGACAGTCACTGACATGTGTTAAGCTTGGTCCCAGCATCTCTTGTTCGGGACAGAAGCATGTGTGAACTCTGGTGGTCTGTAGCTGGGGTGTGTGAGCACCACAACTAATGTGTGCAGCGCCTTTGAGCACCTCAGCTAAAAATGTGTGAGCACCCCTCTGGGTTCCAGGGTCAAGTGTGCAAGCTCCATCCCCAAGCATGTGTGTGACCCCTGGTCATTGAAGCAATCGAGGGGGAAGGGGAGGGGGCATAAACTTAGCTCTGGTGACACCTCTTTTCCTGACACAGACTCTCATCCTAAATGCTTTCATGCACTTAAGGGGTAGCCAAAATCCTCAGGGCTTACTCCTGGCTCTGTGCTCAGGGATCACTCCTGGGTGAGCCAGGGGACTGTATGGGGTGCTGGGGATTGAACCCAAGTCAGGGACGTGCAAGGCAATGTCCCTTTTCACTGTACTCTCTTTTCAATCTGAGCTAAGTAAAATTTTTTCCTGAGTCTTCAGGGCCATGATTGCCTTCAGCCCAAGTCCAGCTTGATAGTCCCCCTCCCCAAAGTGTGATAGTTACTCTGGGGTGTTTATTCCAAACCTCTTAAGCTGTCAGAAGAGTAGACTATCTTGAGAGTTCTCGTACCCCAATCATCACTCTCTTTAAGTTTTCTCTATCACCAACTGATGATCTGTACTAACGTAGCACATTTCTTACAGTAGATGAACCGGTATCAGTGCATTGTTATTATGACTATTGTTATACTGATTCTCAGTGATACATGATGCCCAGCAGTTCTAAATGCAATGCTGCCTGGGCCTAGTGCAGGCTACCAGGACAGCCCCCAGTGGTCCTGCGTGAGGGGTGGGATGGGGGCTTGGGGGGTGGGCATGTGGTAGTAAGGATTCAACTTGGTCTCTTGTGCATGCCCTCTCCAGCCCTACACCTACTTCTTTGAGGTTGTTGCTGTTTTCGCACTAAGAGCCCCAGTTGGCAGTCTGTTCTTATTTTTCTTTTTCGGGGCATGGTTGGAGCCGACCCAGCAGTGCTTGCGACCACATGCTCCTGCATGCAGAACAAGCATTCAACCCATTGAACTGTCTCACTCCAGCATTTTGCTGGAACATCTATCCAATCAGCTGCCTGAACACCCACCTCTGCATCTAACATTCTTTCTCACACATCTCATAGATTTTAGACCTTCCAGTTGAGTGGGGGTGAGTTAATGGGAACAGAGTGCTTTTCTGGGGAGTTGGGGGTTCCACCTGTTAGAATCTGGTTAGTGGGCTGGAGAAATAACTTAGTGGGCTGAACGCATGCTTTCCAGCGGGGAGTCTTGGGTCTGATCCTTAGCACTGTTTGGTCCCCCAGTACTGCAGGGGGTGATCCCCAGAACACCGAGTCAGGCGTAGCCCCTAGAACATTGCCAGGTTGAAAAAGAAAAAAAGAAAAAGAATCTGAATGATCAATTGAGCTCAAAGGTTCGGGACGCAGCTGGCGGGTGGGGTCTTGTATTGGTTCTTGCCAGTGGGGTGGTGCCTTAGACACAGCGACGTTCGTTCTGACGTTCTGACCAGGAGCAGATCAAAGCTGCTGCCCTCCCCCTGGCTCTACGTCTCTCTGGGACTGCTGGCTCGGGTGCTTTTGGCTGGCCTTGCCCACATGAGGAGAAACCTCTGTTTCATTTCGTTCACTTGGTTAAGCATGGAAATTTCCAAAGGCCACATATTTTTCTCTTGGTTCTCTTTGTTTTTTGGGGGAGGGACAGGGGGAGTCACATACCTGCCAGTGCCTAGGGGCTGCTCTCAGCTTGGTGCTCAGGGAGTCACTCCTGGTGGTGCTCTAGGGACCTTGTGGTGACCAGGGTCCAGGTGCTGCTGTGGGCTGCCTGCATGCACAGCATGTGCGAGCATGTTGAACTATCTCTCCTGCTTAGGAATGTTCCCTTAAGGAAAAAGGAAACACAGTCTAAAAATATGGAAAGGTAATTTATAGAAATTATTTTGTTGGTGGGTGGGAGAATTGCCCAATGACTTAAGTGCCGCTTTGCAGTCCCTGCTACTACAGGGCCGTCCAACCTGGGCTGGGAGTGAACCTTGAGCATGGAACTGAGAGCCCCGCTCAACACCTCTCAGCACCCCTCCTATACACAGCAATACCACAACTTTTTGCATTCCAACTTGTATGTGTGTATGTGTGTGTGGGGGGGGTGCGGGGTGGTGGTGGTATAATGAGAACTTGAACCCAGGGCTTCACACAGGCCACTGAAACACATTCTGGGCCCAAAATGGTATATTTGGGGATGGGGAGGCTGCATCTACTGATGCTCAGGGGTTACTCCTGGATCTGAACTCAGGTTACTCCTGGCAGTGCTCTGGGGGCCATATGGGAAACTGGGGATCAAACCTCAGTCAGCCACGCATAAAGCAAGCACCCTACCCAATGTACTGTGGCTCTGGCCTCTAGTATTTCCCTTAAATGAAGCTAACTGCAGATAATCCTGGAAAAATACAGACTTTATTTCATGAAACAGTTTGAGTGGAGCATGGTACTTGCTTCTGCCCTCCACACCCTGCTGTGCAGTGTCATTTTCCCCCTCCATCTCTGGGAGAGCTGGCCTCTTTCCTTGAGGACAGGGAACTGTTAGCAGGCTGTGATCTCTGGGTCACAGCTGGATAGAGGACTACTCACCTCTTCCCTTTTTTTCTCTACATTATATCTAAGGGTTCAACCTGTCCCCCCTTCAGGACTCAAGCTTCCCTCTTCATGCCTATGTATGTTTTTGGGATCTCTGGCACAGGTCTTAGGGTCTACCATATCAAAGCCTTGGTGTAGACAATATACCTTTGGTATACAGGTATATAGTCCTCTTATAACATGTTTCTCTAATAATGTACTACCTATGGGAGTTTACGTAGACTCAGACATCAACATTCCTTTTATTCTTTCCTTAGATTCCAGCTCCAAAGCGAGGAGAAGTGGTGAGACAGATTGGTGATGCCTTGCGAGAAAAGATCCAAGTACTTGGAAGCTTGGTAAAGTGTTTCGGCAGTAATTTCCTCCCATCTCTCTGAGGGAGGGATAAGGTTATGCATTTTGGGGTATAAGACTGGTTTTGTTTGGTTGTTTGTTTTGGCTTTTGGGCTACACCCAGCAGGCTTCAGCAACTGTTTCTGGTTCTGTGCTTGGAGGTTGCTCACTGTGTTTCTGAGGCTCAAACCCAGTGTCCTGAGTGCAAGCATGTCTCCAGCCCACTGAACATCTTTATGGCCCAAAAAATGAGATTTAAAATAAAACAAAATCTTTTTAATTTAAAATGTTTTACTTAGTCACTGTGAATTACAAAGTTATTCATGACTGGGCTTCAGACATACAATGATCCAACACCAATCCCTTCAGGGCTCGCTTCCCCCCACCAATGACCCCAGTTTCTTTCCCATCCACCAGCCTGCTCTATGACAGGCCCTTTTTGTAATAAATTATGGGTCCTGTGACGTACAGTCCTGTTACTGATAGGATTTAATGCGTAACAGTTTACCACCTTTCAGCAAGATTGTGTTGTTTTTTTTTTTTTTTTATTTGCCACACCTAGCAGTGCTCAAGGCTTACTCCTGGCTGTGCTCTCAGGGATCACTCCTGATGGGCTTGGTGATCATATGGGGTATTGGGGCTCGAACATGGGTTGACTACATGCAAGGTGAGTGCCCTATCTGTTGTACTATAGCTCCAGCCCAGATTGCAAGTTTTAAGAAAACAATATACACGCTTGTTTTTGTTTTATGGTGGTGCTCAGACACTCCTTTTTCAGTGCTTGTGGGTCACTTTTGGAGTTGCCTGGAAAAGCATATAGTGCTGGGAATCAAACTTGAGTCATCTTCATGCAAAACTCTCAGTCCAGCCATTTGACGTATCTCTCCAGCCCCTATTTGTACATTTAAAATCTCTTTTTTTGTTGTTGTTTGTTTTTTGTTTGGGTGCCAGATCCAATGATGCTCAGGAATCACTCCTGGGGTGCTTGGGAGACCATATTGAATGGAATGGACTGGGTTGGCTGCATGGACTGTAGCTGCTGTACTGTCTCCTGGCCCCTTTTCTGAAGATTATTCCCTTCACAAAGCAGACACAACATGTTTTTGTCCTATTGCACACCACCTCATCAATTTATTTATTTATTTTTTTGGCTTTTTTGGTCACACCTGGCGATGCACAGGGGTTACTCCTGGCTCTGCACTCAGGAATTACCCCTGGCGGTGCTCAGGGGACCTTATGGGATGCTGGGAATCGAACCCGGTTCAGTCGCGTGCAAGGCAAATGCTCTACCTGCTGTTCTATTGCTCCAGCCCCACTACCTCATCAATTTAATGTTTTTTGTTTGTTTTCTCTTTTGGGGCCACATCTGGTGATGCTCAGGTGTTAGTCCTGGTTTGCACTCAGGAATCACTCATGATGGGCTCAGGGGACCATAGGGGATGCTGGGGATTGAACCCGGGTCAGCAATCACCTTACCCAATGTACTCTCTCTTCACACCCATCAGTTCAGTGTTTAAAACGTGAGGGGCTGGAGCGATAGCACAGTGGGTAGTGCGCTTGCCTTGTATGTGGCTGACCCGAGTTTGATTCCCAGCATCCCATATGGTCCCCTGAGCACCGCCAGGGGTAATTCCTGAGCATAGAGCCAGGAGGAACCCCTGAGCATTGCCTGGTGTGACCCAAAAAGCCAAAAAAAAAACCCCAGAAAACTTGAATTCAGGGCTTGTTCTCTCAGGTCTATGTTGTCCCTTAAACACGTCTCTTTGCTTGCTTGCTCTTTCAGGCTCGTGTTCTCTCTTCAGCATGCATTCCTTTCCTCTCGCATCCAAGTGTCGTTCAATAAAAGCTATCTTGCTTCGCTAAATGCAAAACAAAACTTGAACTATGCTGGAAAATGCTGCTTGGCTTTTTGTATTTTTAGGTATCTTTGGAGATGGGGAAAATCTTAGTGGAAGGTATAGGAGAAGTTCAAGAGTACGTGGACATTTGTGATTATGCTGTTGGCTTGTCGCGCATGATCGGGGGACCCATCCTGCCTTCTGAAAGTAAGCAGTGGAGTCAGTTCAGCCAAGAGTCTCGTACTCTGATGCAGAAAGTTCAAAAAAGCAAAAATGGTGAACAGTTTGCAAGGGGAATGTGAATAGCTTGTAAATATATAAAATTATCTTTGCTTCTCTACCAAGAAATACATATTAAGATAGGTGAAAACATCCAATCAAGAGACTCTATTTTAACTTTCTAAAGGTAGGACTTGGTATTGTTACATCTTTGGGTGAGATGAGTACTTATGGGAATGTTTTGCAAAGTGAGTTACTTGTGCATCTTGGAGCCGTTTGGAAATAATTGAAAAACACTTGTATTTAATATAAATTTCAAGATTTTTTTCATTTGTGGGGCAGGATGTATGGATATTTGGCAGTGCTGAGGGCTAACTTCTGACTCTGAGCTTAGGATCACTCTTGGCAGACTTGGGGATCAGATGGGATGCTGGGGATTGAACCTGGGTTGGCCACATGCAAAGCAGCATCTTACTCACTGTACTATCACTCTGGCCCAGTTTACTGATCTTTTTTTTGGCCATAACCAGTGATTCTCAGGAGTTACTCCTGACTCTACTTCTAGGAATTACTCCTGGTGAGGCTCTATAGAAAATATTGAAAAATGTGTTTTTTTAAATGTTGAATGAAATGAAATTTAATATTAGATATTGGAAATCATTTTATGTTATTTAGAACAGTAATTGTGTATCTAAAAATACTTCTCCAACTCTTTGTATACAAGTAGAGAATTTGCCCAACATTCTAAGAAAAGCAGACAAATATCTTTTTGTTGTTTGCTTTTTTGGCCACATCCAGTAGTGCTCAGGGTTTATCCCCGGCACCCTGCAGCCTGAGTTTTCAGTGCTGAGAATGGAGGCTTAGGTGACCTGTCATGTTCTCAGTGCTGCAGGGGCCAAGTGGGCACCCCAGTGTCTGCCCTGGAGATGCAAACGGAAATACGCCCCAGGAGTGACAGAGGTTATCTCTGGAGAGCAGAGTCACTGATGGTCATGATGGTCTTTCTGCTTCTCTGTATTTTCCAAAAATTTCATGATAGGAATTATGTTACACTGACAATCAGGAGAAAAACTAATTGGGTGCTTTCCCTCCCTTTGCTACATTTGTTGCTGAATGCCACACCATGCCAGGAGGGGATCCACAGAGTGTGGTGAATGGGGAGGGAGTGATGGTACAGTGGGGAGGGCGTTCAGCCCGGTTCCATCCCTGGCATCCCATGTGGTCCCCTGAGCACCACCAGAAGTAGTGATTCCTGAGTGCAGAGCCAGGAGTAACCTCTGAGCATCTGAGCATCAGCAGGTGTAGCCCCAAAACAAAAACAAACAAACAGTTACACAGTGTGGTAACTGAGGGCCCACACAATGGGGAAGGGTCCAGATTCCACAGAGAATCCCTGGGTAGAGCCAGGGGTCATTCTTGGGCAATGATCAGAGTGAGGGGACACACTCCCCCGAGAGTCTGGCCACAGTCAACGTCAGCACCTTGACACACTAACTTTCCAGCCCTAAGAAATATTTAATACAGTTTTCTGTTTTCAGGGAGTCAGAGTGATAGTACAGTGGGTAGGGTATTTACTGTGCATGTGGCCAAGTTCGGTTTGTTCCCTGGCATCCCATATGCCTGCCAGGAGTGGTCCCTGAGCTCAGAGCTCAGGAATAGGCCCAGAGTACTGCCAGGGGTAGGCCCCAAAACAAGCAAACAAACAGTCCTTCCTAAAACTCTTGTTCCAGCTGTTGGAAGGCACCGCCTGGAGGGAGAGAACGGGTGGAGGGCCCCTCAGGAAGAGAACTTTCCTGTCCTGGAAAGTTTGGGCTTTATTTCAAGGGTCCCTGTAACAATAATCTAGACACCAGAGGGTTCTAAGTCACAGGACACCCGCTTCATGGGGAGAAGAAAGAAGGGAGGGTAGGGCCAAGAGGTGGCTCAAAGGGCCAAGCCTATGCTTTGCATGCAGGGGGCCTAGGGTCTGCGAACCCCCTAGGAGTGACCGAGGACAAAGCCAGGTGTAGCTCAAAGAAACTTGGGGGAAAATTGGCTTGAGGCAGCAGATTGTAAAGTTCAGATGGTGATAGTGCTTTCACCTTGTCTTGGGAGACTCCACCTTACTCTCAAGCCTGTCATAGTATAATTGATTTGTGGAATGTGACTTTATTGGGGGAAGTCACAAAATAGTAGTATCGGCATCAAATTTTGTTAGCTTTAAGCGGGTGGGTTACTGAGAGACATTCAGATTCCTGTGTCTGAGACTGGCCTGTGCCCTCCATTTGCAAGGAGGAAGGTTCTCTTCTGAGCCACGGTCCTCAGAAAGCCTTCCCTAGGAGGGATGCCCTGTCCCCGAGTACCCTTCTCCACACTCTCCCAGGAAGGACTGAGTTGCCCTACCTATACCAAGTCCCCATGAAACTTAGAGACACAGTGGGTGTTTGCAAGGTAGGATAGGAGTAGCAGGCTGTGCCAAATATGGGCAACTGTATTCATAGCCCACAGCGGTGTCAAGTCATCTCACTCTGCCACAAGGTGTCTGACACCCCCACGTTGTGCCTTGGCTGTGAAATGGAAAGATTTCAAACTTGTGTCTGTGGGACTTGGACCTGCATTGGATTAACCTGCTCAGCTTGTCATGTGCCTCCCTGTGCCTGCAGGACCTGGCCACGCGCTCATTGAACAGTGGAACCCTGTGGGCCTGGTTGGGATCATCACTGCGTTCAACTTCCCTGTGGCAGTGTATGGTTGGAACAACGCGATCGCCATGATCTGTGGGAACGTCTGCCTTTGGTAAGTCCTACTTGGTGCTCTTACCCAAAGGAGAAAAATAAGAAAACCCATTTTATGCACTGCTTGAAGTGTAAGTGTGTGTGTGTGTGTGTGTGTGTGTGTGTGTGTGTGTGTGTGTGTGTATTAAAAGAAAATTTCTTAAAAAGATGTGAGGGGAAAGAGAGGAATACATGTTCAAGAAAGAACATGGCTGGGGGTCAGGTGAGTTAGTACAGTGGGTAAGGCTCTTGGCCACCTGGCACATGGTTAACCCAGGTTCAATTCCTGGCTTCACATATGGTCCCTTGACTATTGACAGGATTAATCCCTAAGCATAGAGTCAGAAGTAAACTGAGTGTGATCCCCTATACCCCAAAATAAAAATAAAAAAAGAATACAGATTTCTTTAGAGTGGAAAATGCAGAGAGAGGGGGTGATATGTTCAATTTTTTAAGAGAGAACATGGGCTTGAAAAAACAAGTAAGCCCTATTATTTTTGTTTTTCTTGGGGAGCACATCCTATAATGCTGGGGTGGGGAGGGGCAGTTCCCAGCTCAGGGCTGTTGGTCGGGAGGGTGCTCCCAATCGTGCTTAGGAGATCATATGTGCTGGAGATCAGTCCTGGGCCCCTGCATGCGAAGTCTGTACTCAGTCCTTTCGACTGTCCCATTGACCTCATGCAAGAATTTTAATTAATTAATTAATTAATTTATGTTTGCTTTTTGGGTCACACCCGGCAATGCACGGGGGTCACTCCTGGCTCATGCACTTAGGAATTACTCTTGGCGGTGCTTGGGGGACCATATGGGATGCTGAGAATCGAACCTGGGTCAGCTGCGTGCAAGGCAAACGCCCTACCCTCTGTGCTATTGCTCCAGCCCCGTCATGCAAACATTTTAAATGTATTGAAATATTTTCTCTGAAATACTTACTCTAATGTACTGTGTCATACTGATTGTGAATACTTTTCAGGGAGGGTGTGTTTCACATCTGGTGGTATGTGGGGGCTACTCCTGGCTCAGTGCTTAGGGATCACCATGCTCAGGGGACCTTGTGATGCTGAGGATTGAACCGAGACCTCATGCATGCAAAGCATGTGTATTAGCATACTGAGCTACCTTCACTGGCCTCCAAAATGCCGATTTTTAATCCTTACCCACTTGATTCTCTGCTATTGTAGCACTGTAGCAATGTTCTCCTATTATTGATCGATTTGCTCGAGCGGGCCCAGTAACGTCTCAATTGTGAGACTTATTGTTACTGTGTTTGGCATATCGTATACGTCATAGGTAGCTTGCCAGGCTTTGCCATGCGGGCGAGATACTCTCGGTAGCTTGCCAGGCTCTCTGAGAGGGGCAGAGGAACTGAACCCGGGTCGGCTGCGTGCAAGGCAAGTGTCCTACCTGCTGTGCTATCGCTCCAGCTATATAATATATATATAGAAATTATATCTATATAAATTATATATCTGTCACTGTCACTGTCTCTCCTGTTGTTCATCGATTTTCTCGAGCGGGCCCAGTAACGTCTCCAGTGTGAGACTTTGTTGTTACTGTGTTTGGCATATCAAATACATCACAGGTAGCTTGCCAGGCTCTGCCGTGCAGGCGAGATACTCTCGGTAGCTTGCCAGGCTCTCCGAGAAGGGCGGAGGAATCGAACTCCGGTCGGCCATGTTGGCTGCTTGTAAAGCAAACGCCCTACCCGCTGTGCTATCGCTCCAGCCCGTAAATTATATATAGATATAATTTCTATATATATATTATAGAAATTATATCTGTATCATATAAATAATATATAAGTAAAATAATGGAGATGTTACTGGGCTCGCTTGAGTAAATCGATGAACAACAGGAGGACAGTGACAGTGAAGTAAAATAATATGCAAATTGTATATACATCATAATATATACACAAATAGTGTGTGTGTGTGTGTGTGTGTGTGTGTGTGTGTGTGTGTATGTTTTTGGACCACACCTGGCAATACTCAGGAGCTACTCCTAGCTCTCTTCTCAGGAATTACTCCTGGTGGTACACAGGGAACTATATGGAATGCCAGGGATAGAACATGGATTGGCTGCGCACAAGGCAAACGCCCTACCCGCTTATCTGCTGTACTGTCTCTCTAGTCTCAAAATTTATGTTTTGAACCTATTCTTGTTTCCCCTGTTTGACTCAGCTATTTTTTCCCGGGGATGGGGGCGGGGGTGTCCCATAATTCAGCTCTGAGGCTACTGGGTTAGGCCTGTTCTTCATGGACTGCGTTTGCAGTGCCCAGGTGCCCTATCCTGGAGCCAACCCTTCCTGGAGCCAACCACTGCCCCCCACAAGTCACCTGTGAGCTTAGTAAAGGACACTTATTGTCACTGAGGAAATTCCAAGGGGTTTTGAAGCTCTGGCAGAAGCAGGACAAAGACTAAGCAATGTTCTCTTTTTATGTTCTGCACTCCTGGAACAGAAAATGAAACAAGTAACTAATTAGGAGGAGGAAGAACTTTATTTTTTTAATATCGACTGTTATTTCCCCCCAACAAAAAAATTTGAATTCTCAAGCTATTCAGAGGCATTTGGCCAGCATTCCCACTGATGCATTCCAGTTTACATCTCTGTAAAGTATTTACTAGTAAAGTGACTGGAGGAAATGCCCCATTTTTTAGATGACAAGATAGTTGCTTGTGTTTAGTTCTCATTTTCAGAGGCCCAACATAGAAGACTAGGATCATCTCTCCTGTTAGTGATGTCCTGTCTCAGCGCGGTTCTCCATGGGTCATGCATTCAGAGACAGATCATCGCAGAGTTGTCAGCTTCTGTGTTCTGTCCCAATGCTGAAAGTTAGAAGGCCCGAGCTTCCCAGCACTAACCCAGAAGGGCTACTTTTCTGTCGTTCCCAGCTCTCTAGATTGTCAAATGGAAGCTCCTGTTGTTAGATTTATGTTTCACGTAGTATCTGAGTTAGCATCCAGCAAAGGTGATTGTAACCATTTCACCCTGGTTAGTGCAGCAAGCAGGTTCAAAATAGCTTGATGCCATGTTTCATTTGTGTGTTGTTAGGCCACACTAAGTGGTAATGTCATTCCTGATGGTGCTCAGGGAACCGTGCAGCTTGGGATGGAAGTCAGGTCTCATGCATGCAAAGTGGGCGCTCCAGCACTTGGTGTTGTATTTCGGCCCTCTGTGTACTTTTCTCTTCCCGAAACTGTTGTTAGCCCTTAGATCTCCACGAAGCCAAGCTAAAGCACAGATTTCCATCTCGGTTACTAGGCTCATAGTCTAATGGAACCAAAATTTGCTCACAAAAACTTTTGCTTCTGTTTTATAATATTAGGTATTTATGATCTCTCTCTCTCGCTCTCTTTTTTTTCCCTCTCAAGGAAAGGAGCTCCAACAACGTCCCTCATTAGTGTCGCTGTCACGAAGTAAGTATATATGGCTTTAGTTTTACTAGGTCTGCAAAAGCCTTGAAAGGTTATTGACGGACCCTGAATTTCATGTGCAAGGATCACTTTTTTTTTTAAGCTTTTGATTATGCCCAGTTAGTGTCCAGGGTTTGCTCAGGGACTCACTCCTGGTGGTTTTTGGGGGACCTGTACTATCTCTCTGACCCTGGTCATAATTAATTTTAAGCATGGGATTTGGGTAGTTTATTGCTCTTAGGGGCTGGAGCGATAGCACAGTGGGTAGGGCATTTGCCTTGCATCCTGGCAACCTGGGTTCGATTCCTCCGCCCCTCTCAGAGAGCCTGGCAAGCTACTGAGAGTATCTTGCCCACATGGCAAAGCTGGCAAGCTACCCGTGACGTATTTGATATGCCAAACATAGTTACAATAAATCTCACAGTGTTACTGGGCCCACTCGAGCAAATCAATGAACAATGGGTTGACAGTGACAGTGACAGTGATTGCTCTTTGGGCTACAATAATATTTTTGTTATCTTTGTTATTTTTTTAATTTTTGTTTTGGGATGTGGGCCATACCCTTAAGTACTCAGGGGTTATTCCTGACTCTGCTTAGGAGTTAGTCCTGTTGATGTTCTGGGGATTTGAGCTGGGATCAGTGGGCAAGACAAACGCCTTCCTTCCTATACTGTCTCTCCAGCTCCAGGAGATTTTGAATCTAATTTAGTCCCATTTATTATCGCCTTCTCCCCTCCCCCCCCCTTAGTTGTTTGCAGTTTTGACATCATGACCGCAAAAGTCACCACCAAAACCAATATTGAGAAACTTTTTCCATAGATCTCATTTTAGGAATTTCATGGTATGGACTCTTATGCTTTTCAGTCTGTTTTGAATTCGTTTTTATGATTGGTGAGTGAGAGATAAAAGTTTTCATTGGATTTTTCGGTTTCCCCCAGCACATTTGTTGAAGATACTATTATTTCTGCATTAGGTATTCTTGGCTCATTTGTTAGGTATCAATTGATTATATGCTGGAATTTAATTGTGAGCTTTATCTGTGTGACCATTTTTCTGCCAATACATACTTTTTTTTATTATTATTTGTTTCATAATGTGCATTAAAATCAGGAAGTGTTTTGCCTTCAGCAAGTTCTATTGTTTACCCCCAAAGGCTGAGGTATTTCTGGAACCATACAGATTTTAAGATTATTTCTCCTATTTCTGTAAGGAACACCTTTGGTATTTTATTTTATTTTGTTTTTTCGACCACACATGGTGGTGCTCAGGACTTACTTCTGTTATTTTAATGGAGCTTGTGTTGAATCTGTATATGACTTTGGGTATTACGGGTATTTAGGTATTATGGACATTTTAGCAGTATTCTCTTCTATGATTGAATAGGGATATCTTTCCATTTGTTTATGTATTATATTTTTTTTAGCAGAGTCCTTTTTGTTTGTTTGTTTTTGGGTCACACCTGGCAATGCTCAGAGGTTAATCCTGTCTCTGTGTTCAAGAATTATTCCTGGTGGTGCTTGGGGGTCTTTATGTGGTCCTGGGGATCAAACTGGGGTGGGTCACATGTAAGACAGACACCTGCTGTGTCTCTCCCTCCTGGGGTGCAACTGACTATTATATGTGGATTTTATATCCTTCCATCTTTACTGAATTATCTGTTAGTTCCAGCAGGTTGTTTTTGCTTTTTGTGTCACACGAAAACCCTTACCCCTGTACTATCGCTCTGGCCCCACATTTTTTTTTTTAATTAACTAGGATTTTCTATATTTCAGGTAGCTTCCTCAAACTATTACAAATTTGCTTCTTCTTTCTGATATGAAGACTTGCTATTTCTCTCTTCTAAAATTAATTTTTCTCCCTTGCTTAATTATTCTGGCCAGGACTTCTAGTACTCTAGTAAAAGCAGGAAGAGTTGTCATCTTTGTCTTTTTTCTTTCTTTTTTTTTTTAAATGTAGGAGTACTACTATATATTCAGCCACTGATTAGCTGATTGAATTAAGCATGAACTCCACTCTACTTTTTTTATTATTTTTTTATAATTTTATTTATTGAATCACCATGAGAGCAGTTACAAAGCTTTCCGATTTAAGTCTTGGTCATACAGTGAAACACCCGTACCTTCACCAGTGCCCATTCTCCACATCCAAAATCCCCAGTATACTCCCATTCCATACCCTCCCACTACCTGTGGGGCAGATGATTTCCACATTACTCTGTCTCTACTTTGGTTACATTCAATATTTTGACACCAGACACACCTTTATTATTTGGGATTTTACCCCAACACTCAGATCTGCTGAAAAGGCAACAGTAGACAATTTGTTTTCTATTGCTGGTTATGAAAACATATGATGTTTCGTGACTGCAGTAGTGGCTGTGTGATTTTGAAATTCCGAAATTTTAACAATTAAATCTGGAGGGATTTCTGCCAAAACCTGCTGGGTTCTGAGATTTGTTCCTGAGTCTCTTGGATTATGGCCATTAAGCAGCTTGATAAGGAGCCAGAGAGGCCGTTCGTGGTTGGCTTCTGTGTCTTGTTGGGACCGGGAGGAAAGGGCCGGCTCCACCCCCATCCTGTGAGGCCCCACGTGTCTCATCACTGAGGGCCCAAACCTGACTGTCCAATGGCCTCTGAAGGATGGCGGCCACCGAGCCACCAAGGGGGAGCAGGTGGAGGGACAGCACCCTTTCCCCTCTGGGGTGGCCCGGTGACAGTGACTTACTGTGTAGTCTGGATGCATTTCTGCCAAAAGCCACTGGGTTTCAAGATTTGTTTCTGAATCTCTGGGATCATGGCTGTTAAGCAGCTTGATCAGGAGCCAGAGAGGCCGTTTCTGAACGGCAACTTGGGGTCTCGTTGGGACAGGGAGGAAATGGCTGGCTCCACCCCCATTCTGTGAGGCCCCTTGTGTCTCGTCACTGTGGACCCAAGCCTGACTGTCCAGTGGCCTCTGGAGGATGGAGGCCACCAGGCCGCCAGGGGGAACAGGCACAAAACAAGGCACAAAACTTATTCCCACCTGGGGTGCCCAGTGCCTGTAACCAGCTGCAGGGATTGGACACATTTCTGCCAAAAGCCTCTGGGTTTCGAGATTTGTTTCTTTTTTTTTCCACATTTTTAAAAACTTTTTATTGAATCACTGTTATGGACCCTTACAAAGCTATTCATGATTGGGTTTCAGTCATATAGTGTTCTAACACCCATCCCTCCACCAGTGTACATTTTCCAGCACCAGTGTCCCCAGGTTCCCTCCCATCACCCCCCTACCCCCCACCCCCTGCCTGTCTCTATGGCAGGTGCTTTTCTTTTTTTTTCTCTCTCCTTTTGGGCAGTGTGGATTGCAATATAGGTGGCATCTTCTCAGCAATGGCCAGTGGCACTTTCACTGCAGTGATGGCTGCAGCTCGAGATTTGTTTCTGAGTCATGGCCATTAAGCATTTTGATCAGGAACCAGAGAGGCCATGCCTCCAATTATATAGCTGAGCCGGAGGTGGTTTGTGGGTGTGTTTCCCACATACCTAACTTTTGGCCGTTTACTTTCTTGGTAAACTTTGCCCCAAGTTTTTGGGGTCTGGCCAAAAGCACAGCAGTAATTTGGGGGTATCTGGAAGTCTGAAGGCGCCATCAGGCTGCTGATGCACTTGCCTCACAGGTACAGATTGACTTGCTGGTGGCACCATACCCTTTTCTTTGTCTTATTTCTGATCTTAAAGGAAAAGGCAGGTTTCTCCACTCAGTGTTGCATTTGCTGTGGGTTTATTGTATGGCTTTTATTTGATGAGGTATATTCCTTCTATACCCAAACTGTTAAGAGTTTTCACTATGAATGGAAGTTTGCCAAATGCTTTTTCTGTGTAATAGGTGGAGGAGCATGTGGCTACACCAGGCAATGCTCAGGGACTAGTCCTGGGATGGTGCTTAGGACATTGCTCCTAGCAGTGCATGGGGGACCCTTTGGTCCTGGGTATTGAACCTAGACCATCTGGATGCAGATCACATGCTTCACTTCTCCATCTACCCCCATCCCAATTGTGTAGTTTTTATTCTTTATTTTAGGATGTTGTTACATTTGTTGATTTGTGTATGTTGAGCCATCCATGCATCCCAGGGATAAATTGTCTTTCCTACTCTTAATATGTTCTTGAATTCCTTTTGTTACTATTTTGTCTGTTGGGGGGCCCTGTTCAGACTCTGTTTAACAGGTAGAAGCTATTCTTTTGTTTTCCAGAAGGTGGAGCTCGAGCATACGTTTTTGGCTTAGTACAGCTACCCCTACAATTGGGTAGCAGGCATTTAAAAAAAAAGTGGGGGTGACTGAGGTAGGGGGAAGTGTTTGCTTAGTGTATTTCCTATGTGTCCATGACCCAAAAGAGGAATCCTTAAATGGGGGAGTTCTTGAAGTCAGTGGGGCATCTCTCACTGGAATCCCAGCAGTAGGTGGCAGATAACAAGTTCCTTCAGTTCTGTCTATCTTTCATTATTGCCTTCCCTGCACCTGGTCAGGGAGATCTTACTTTAGAAATCTGAGTATTGGGGTCCGAGAGATAGTACAGGAGCTTAGGCACTTAACTGCTTTGATCCCCTGTACCACATATGGTCCCCTGAGCACCTCCAGGAGTGATCCCTGAGCACAGAACCAGGAGTAAGCCCTGAGCACACCTGGGTGTGACCCACCACTCTTGTCCCAAAAATCTGTGTGTTGCTGAAGAGCAGCGGGACCTTTGCCTGCAGACACATGATCGGTCCCCTTTTACTTTCACTTTTTAAGAGTATCCTTTGCTAGAGAGGTCATCCCCTCTCCCCAGGGTTTCGTCTCCATGGCCCAGTTCCCCCACCTTCCGATGCATAGATAGGTGGATCTCTCGGATGTCCTGGTCTGTGGTGTGAAGTTGCTTTTGTGTGATGATGGAGATCCAGTGGGCTGTAAGTCAAAGGGGAGAGAGAGAGAAATGACTCAACGCTGCTATGCTAGGTGTCACTCTCTGGGGTCAGGTCATTGTATACCACAAATGAACTTTAAAGTGAAAAAGCTGTTAAAGTGAGCAGTGAATTGATCAGGCACTTGCCCTGAGGCTGATTAAAACCTTGTTAATTTGGCTACTGATTTTATATATTCTTTAAATATTTTAAATGTTTTTGAGTTATTGTCCCTTTGAGCTTTTACTTATTTGCTTAAAACGGTTTCTGAGGATTTTTTTCTTTTCTTTTTTTTTTGGGGGGGTGCACACCCAGTGGTTTTCTAGGCTTACCCCTGACTCTGGTTTTAGGGGTCACTCTGACAGGCATGGGGGAACCATATGGGGTGCTGGGGATCGAACCCCAGTTGGCTGTGTGCAAGGCAAGTGCCCTTCGCTGTGCTATCACTCTGACCATCATTTCTTTGTTTTATGAGGGAATTTGTATAGACAAAACTGTCAGCCGCCTCCAAGGGACCTGTAATTATAAGACTCCTGTACTCAGGGGAGGCTGGGACGCACATGCCTTTCAACTCTCACAGTCATCACCTTAGTGCAGGTGCAGTTGACCCCTCAGGTCTGTTTTGCTGTAAACCATGTTGTTTAAGTTGTGTTGTTGGCACATTTCTCAGGCCAACTCTGGAGAACATAGCCAGAGAGTTAACATGAGGTCACATTCTCAGGCATGGGGGTGGTGGGGAGGGTTTGTTACCCTTTGCTTACAGGGCACAATACACACCCCTTCCAGAGCCACCAGTGGTCTTGTGTCACAATTCATACTCAAGTCCCACGGAAGAGTTGTTCAACCACACACTCAGATATAACCACTGGAATTCATGGTCCTTGGTTGATTGGAGAAAGGAAAACCACTGTAGAGAATGGACTAGCTGGTCACAGTGGGTATTGTCACAGTTCTGTGCAAATGGGTATGGGATCGATCTGGCTCTTCAAACTTAAATGAGAAAGTAGCCAAGAAGATGGTTTAATTGATGAAGTGAACTTTGCTCTATTCAGTGCTCCTCAGTAAGGTCAAATGAAACAGAGGAATCCTGTTTCAAAGGCAGCTAGAAGCACTTGTGTTTTACAAGTCAATCTGATTCAAGTGGCATGGTTGTGGATCTGTCACTTACACCATAACAAGGTCCAGAAGACTGAGGGCAGGTTTTGATGTCCCACAGAACAGGACAGAACCTCTTCCCTCTGCTGTGTCTCCTTAGCATCTGCTCTCCCATTTTCACCCTTCACTTCTCTAGCTGGCTCCACCTTGTAGAGATGTGATGACATAACCCTTTAGCTGTTGGAGACCATTTCTCAGTTCCTCCGGCTTTCTTTCTCTTTTTTTTTTTCCTTTTTGGGTCACATCCACCAATGCACAGGGGTTACCTCCTGGTTTTGCACTCAGGAATTACTCCTGGAGGTGCTCAATGAACCATATGAGATGCTGGGCATCAAACCTGGGTCGGCCACGTGCAAGGCAAACGCCCTACCTGCTGTACTATCGCTTCAGCACCTCTTTGGCTTTCTAAGTCTTATTCCTTTCTATTTCCATTTTAAAATTTAGTTACCATTCTAAAAACTGAACGTATAATAGGACATCACACACATACTTAAAAATCCCCGACCATCAGTCTACCATCTTGAACCAGATAATGTCTTCTTTCTTTCTTTCTTTCTTTCTTTCTTTCTTTCTTTCTTTCTTTCTTTCTTTCTTTCTTTCTTTCTTTGTCACACCTGGCAATGCACAGGGATTACTCCTGGCTCATGCACTCAGGAGTTGCTCCTGGCAGTGCTTAGTGGACCATATGGGATGCTGGGAATTGAACCCGGGTCGGCGGCGTGCAAGGCAAATTCCCTACCTGCTGTGCTATCGCTCCAGCCCCAGATAACGTCTTTGTAGTTTGGCAAAAAGCAGTTATGATTTGAACCACCTCACTAATTCTTTCTTTTTTTTTTATTGAAACACCATGAGATACAGTTACAAAGCTTTCATATTCGAGATTCAACCATACAGTGATCAAACACCCATCCCTCCACCAGTGCGCACTTTCCACCACAGTGTCCCTACTGTATCTCCCTCCCCCTTATCCCAGTCTTCACCCTGCCTCCATGGCAGGAAATTTCCCCAGTACTCTCTCTCTCTAATTTGGGGCATTATGTTTTGCTGGAATTTTCCCACCACCATTCACGCCTGCCTGCCAAGGGCAGATGCTACATCATTTATTATCCCTTACTCATTTTGAATATTATGGGTGCCGTGGCTGTGTACTTCTGGAATCCTAGATTGTAAATGGTTGGGTTCCAGAGGCATTTCTGTAGGGCACTAATCTATTTCGAGATTCAGTTTGACTTCTCTGGACCAGGGCTGTTGGTGCGCTAAGATGGCACCTGGAGGCACATTGTGGGGATGACAGCCAGGCTGCCCTACGGGCGGGGAACAGGGATGGGATAGCCCGGTGCCTCTGCCACTATGTATCCTGGAGATTTAGTCCTGCAACCCACATACCTGGGCCTTACTGTGGAAGCTCTTGGTCACTAGGATTCCATCTGGAGTAGGCAGGGAGACTGCACCTGCTCTTTCTGGGGTGCCCCATTGAAATTGGCTCGGTATGGGGCCTGGAGAGAACTCTGGTGCTGCGATGTCTTCTGGGTCTTGCTGCCGTGCCTCTGGGCCAGGGCTGTTGGTGCAGTAAAATGGTGCCCGGAGGCACATTGTGGGGGTGCACCTCACTACTTCTTTATATAATTTAATTTGGATTTTTTTTTTATCTTGCATGATTCTTTTAGGGAAGAAAAAGTGTTTATGAGCTCTATTTATTTGTGAGATTTGTTTAGATTTGGAACCATACCTGGCACTATTCAGACACTATTCCTGGCTTGTTGCTCAGGAGTGACTCCTGTCTGTGCTCAGGGCACCACATGTGGTGCCGGTAAATTGAATGTGAATTGGCCATATGTAAAGTAAGCACCTCATCTCCTGTTCTAGCTCTCCAGTTCTTATTTTTGTGTTTTGGGTCCATACCCAGCCATGCTCAGGGGCTACTCTTGGCTCTGTGTTTGGGGAACCACATGGCGGCGGGGATCATGCCAGGCTTCCTGGATGCAAAGCAAGCGTTCAGCCTGTGGAGCTATGTCTCTGTCCCACCCTCAGCTTTGAAGTGTTTGAACAACTCCAAACATGAGAAGGGCAAAACTAGTCCTGAACCTTTGGAGGGGTGGGAAAGTTGAAAAGCAGTGGGTAGAATTAATCCCTAGCTTTTCAAATAAATCAAGAATGAAATTGTTCCTTAGTAATTATTGCTTCCTTTCCAGGATAATTGCCAAGGTTCTGGAGGACAACAAGCTGCCTGGTGCAATTTGTTCCTTGACTTGTGGCGGTGCAGACATTGGGTAGGTTCATAGGTGGAGAGGATCATCCTGTTGAGGGCTGATGAGAAACACATTTACTGGAATAATGAAACCGGGTTCCTCTATGGAAATAGGGGGTGGGACTTTTATATAATTATTGTGGATCTTGTAGGGTTATTTTGTCCTTTCTTCCTTCTTTCTCTTCCTCTCTTCCTACTGTCCTTCCCTCCCTCCCTCCCTCCCTCCCTCCCTCTCTCCCTCCCTCCCTCCCTCCCTCCCTCCCTCCCTTCCTTCCTTCCTTCCTTCCTTCCTTCCTTCCTTCCTTCCTTCCTTCCTTCTCTCTTTCTCTGTCTCTCTTTCTCTCTCTTTCTTTTGTGATATACTTAGTGGTGCTCAGGGCTTACTCCTGACTCTGTGCTCAGGGATCATTCCTGCTGGGGCTCAGGGATCATATGTGATGCCAGGAATCGAGCCCAGTTCAGCTGCATATAAGCCAAGCACCTCACCTGCTATATTATCACTCTACCCAGAATTTCTGCTTAAATTTTTTTTTTTAATTTCAAGAGTTGGAAACAGAAAAGTTTGTTGAAAAGCAGAAGAGAAAGAAACTCCCCTGCTGGGAGGAACTTAGCATAATTAAGTTCTAGCTTCCCTGTTGTGTCTGGTGTGGCATCATATCTCAGACTCTTTTTTCAAAAGTAGAATCAACCATAATTGTACCAAACCATAATGAGAGAAGAGATGCGTATTATTGATTGAGACCTTGATTAGATATGATTTCAAAGTTGTCAGGTCTTGTAACTTGTACTGCTGTGCTAAAATGTTAAGCTGCTCAGATAACATGTGGACTCTTGCTGGTCCATCTCAAAAAGGAGCAAAAAAGGTACTACTTATGTCCTATACACGGGAAAATAATAGAAAATATGACTCTCACACTTAGAGATGGAAGCTAGAATTTTCCCTTTGGCCCAATCAATTCTTGCACTTTGTTTTCTTTTTTGTTATTTTTCTTTTTTGGGTCACACCCGGCGATGCTCAGGGGTTACTTCTGGCTCTGCACTCAGGAATCACTCCTGGCAGTGCTCGGGGGACCATATGGGATGCTGGGAATCGAACCTGGGTTGGCTGCATGCAAGGCAAACGTCCTATCCACTGTGCTATCACTCTAGCCCCGATTCTTGCACTTTGGACATCCCATCTCTGCCTTTTCCTTGGAAAAGCTCACATTAGTGCAGGTGTTTTGTTAAGGAACCTTTCATATGAGTGCTCATGTTTGCTGGGCTGGGCCTGGGGAAACCTGCCTGCTGCATTTTAGCAAATGATTTCAGCCTTATGCTAGACATTGCCTGGCTGTCTTGCCTGGCTTGTGCTGTGCAAGTTTTGAAACACTGAACTATGAGCAAAGAGGTTCATTTCAACAGTGTCTGGTCTACCTTTCTTCAAGGCAACTGGGAATCTATTTTTTTTAGGGGAGGGGGTGTCATACCTGGTGATGCTCAGCTGTTACTCCTGGCTCTGCACTTGGGCATTACTCCTGGTGAGCTTGAGAGGGCATATGAGGTGCTGGGGATCGAACCCAGGCTGGCTCCATGCAAGCGTCCTACCTGCTACACTATCCCTCCAGCTCCAACAATTGGGCATCTTAAGTCAGTTTTCATGAGAGATAATTGGGTTGTTTTCCGTGTAGGTTTTTAGATTTTTCAGGGGTTTGTGTTCTGTTTTTGGTCCCTATCCCACAGTGCTCAGGATCTACTCCTGTGGTCTACTCTGTGTCAGTTGGTGGGGGGCAGGGCGTCATTCCTGCTGTACTCAGGGACCCTGTGGTACAAGGGATGGAACCAAGGCCTCCTGCGTGCACCTCCTGTGCTCAGCTCATCGGGCCATCTCTAGTCCTAGATTTTCAGGGAATTAGTTTGCAGCATGTGCAACAGAACTGGAACAATCTCTTGGTGATCCTAAGATCCTATTCTCTAGTGCACTCCAGCCTTCAGTAGAGGAAAGGCTTTTTTCCCCTCCGTATGTTCTGGAAAGAAATTTGTTTATAGAGAGTTTACAAAGTAGAATGCCCTTTTGGCTAGATGGTTCTGCTGAGAAATCTTGTTCTTCTCATGAAGACCTTTGCTTGCTCCTGGCTTGACATTCGGGTGGCTTTCACCTTCTGACTTTCTTGGACAGAGGCCTGCACAGGGGTGTCTGGCTGGGTGCTGACCAGTGCTACTGGGCTGCAGCTTCCTCTGCTTGGGTGACTGTGTCTGTTCCCCTGCAGCACAGCAATGGCCAAAGATGAGCGGGTGAACCTGCTGTCCTTCACCGGAAGCACTCAGGTGGGAAAACAGGTGGCCCTTATGGTGCAAGAGAGGTTTGGTAAGTGCTGGCTTTCTAATGGGGACTTCATTTCTAATGGGGACTCCAATAGATGAATATGAATTTGCAGATTCCTTTTCTCTTGACTCTTGTTGTTTTTTTTTTTTTCCCTGTGGAGACACCAGTCAGGATTATTTGAACACCCAAGTAAAAGAAAAGGGTATTGTTAGATACTGTCATGGTGGGCTAGCATTAGGAAGATTGCTTGCAAAATTGGTGGGAGAATGCTATTTCCTTCCCCTCACCCCCATCCCACTCCTCCAAAGACCAGAGTAGACTCACAGTAAATATTTATCAATTTTTGTCAGACGTGTCATGGCATATTAAAAAAAAGAAAGCTCCTAACTTCAGCAGGAGGTGCCGTGAATATGGAAGGGAAGGCTTGGCAGTTCCCATCTGCATGTCATTTGTCTGTGACTGACAAGGGCTATGCAAGCAAGGCTCTGTACCTTCTATATTATGGCTCATTTGTAAAGGTTTTCCAGGATAATGCTGACATTGAATTTTTGACAGTTAGGATTTGGATTTGGATTCTAACCTCAGCATAAGATGTACCCTCTGACTTTCTAGTTAATCTAATAATCATTTCACTGTATGGGCATTGCTTTAAAGAACAAGCTTACAAAAAGCTATTAGACCTAGCAAATAAGGCCAGCAAAGTTTTAAGGTAGACAACTAATATACAAAGATCAGATGTGGATTTTATTTTTTCTTCTGCTTTTTTTTGTCTGGGGGGGTGGGGGGGGCATTGGACATACACACAGTGCTCAGGGCTTACTTCGAGCTCTGTGCTTAGGGATCACTCCTGGTGGGCTTGGGGGACCACGTGAGATGCCAAGGATTAAACCAAGGTTGGCCTCATCCTAGGCAAGTGCCCTACCTGTTGTACTATTGCTCTGGCCCCTCAATTATATTTTCATAGCTTAATTATGAATAATATAAAATTTAAAAAACAATTCCATTTGGAACATCAAGAAGAATTACACGGGGTAGGTATATTTAACAGAGATGTCTTTCATACAGGGAGCTACAAGGCATGGCTGAAAGAAATCACTAATGACCTAAATATACGTAAAATCTGTTTTCACCTTTTTGGAAAAGTTAATATTATTAAGATACCAGTGCCACAAAACAAATGGAAGAAAAATAAAGATTATCAGTACTGCCCAAATGCTCTCAGATAAAATACAATTTTTTCAAAATGTCACCTGAATATTTTTTGGTAGAAATTGACAAGCTTATCCTTCAATTCCAAGGAAATTCATGGACCATGACTAGCTAAAATCAATTTTTAAAAAATGAGTAAAACCATGTGGAAAGGTAGGACTACAGCTGAATCTTACGAAGACAATGTTTATGAGAAACAGCCTCGTTCCTGATGCCCCATTCGCTCTCAACGGAACGACCATCTCTGAATGCAAGAGCTATGTGTACCTAGGTCGAGAAGTCAACATGACAAATGACCTGGCACCCGAGCTGCGCAGGAGGAAGAGAGCGGCTTGGAACGCCTTCAAGAACGTTAAAGAAATAGCTAAGAGGACGAAGAAGCTCCGGCTCCAGGCACATCTCTTTGATTCCACTGTTCTTCCTGCATTAACATATGCCTCAGAGACCTGGGCCCTACGCAAACAGGATGAGAACGCTATTCAGGTCTCCCAAAGAAGAATAGAAAGAGCTATGCTTGGAATATCACGTTTCACTCAAATGAGAGAAAGAATCCGGAGTTCGACGATCAAGAATCAGGGACACTGTCTCATTTGCCAAGGTGTCAAAAAATCAGATGGGCTGGTCACGTAATGAGATTTAAAGACGACCGCTGGACTAGAGCTGTTACTGACTGGATTCCACGGGATGTCAAAAGACCGCGTGGCCGCCCACCTACCAGATGGTCAGACTTCTTCATCAAGATCATGAATGATCGGTTTGAGGCCCTTCATGTTCCCAGAGCGAACAGATGCCATTGGGCTACACTAGCACACGACAGGGACAAATGGAGACGTGACTGGCGCCCGCTCGAGCAAATCGATGACTAATGGGCAGTTAAGTGATTAAGTGAGTAAAACCGTGCTCGCTTCGGCAGCACATATACTAAAATTGGAACGATACAGAGAAGATTAGCATGGCCCCCGTGCAAGGATGACACGCAAATTTGTGAAGCGTTCCATATTTTTTTTTAAATGACTAAAACCAGAATCAGAGAACTCATTGCACATTCTCATGTCAGAAATTACTTAAACCCAAAGTCATCAAGACTTTGAGGTGCAGGCACAGAGAGAGACATAAAGATCAAAGAAATAGGATTGAGAGTACCAAAGTAAACCTTTACATTTATGTTTGTTGCTTTTTCCTTATTGTGGTTTTTCAGCCACATCTGGCAGTGCTCTGTGGACCATGTGGTGCTGGGGCTCTAACCTGAGCCTCCCACGTGGAAAACACATGCTACAGTCTATGGGCATCTCCCCAGCCCTTGTATTCACTGATTTCTGACAAGTATGTCAATAGGAAAAGAATACTCTGTTTCATCAAATGCTTCTGGGGCAGTTAGATGTTCGCATACATATGTATGAGGCTGAACTCCTACCTCATCTTATACATAAAAATGAACTAAAAATGTATAAAAAAAATAAATGTGGGCAGGAGTGATAGCACAGTGAATAGTACAGTCACTTACCTTGCATGTGACTGACCTAGGTTAGAACCCCAGGACCACATATGGTTCCTGAAGCCCTGCCTGGGGTGATCTCTGAGTACAGGGCCAGGAGTAAGTTCTGAGCACTGCTGGATGTGGCCCCCTAAAACAAAATGACGACAAGCCAAACACCTAAATATAGGAGTTAGAACTTTAAATCTCCTAGAATAAAACATAGGTTCAAGCCTTTGTCACTTTAGATTTGGCAGTGGATTTTTAGATATGACATCTAAAGCATTAGTAACAGAAAAATATAAGTAATTAGATTTCATCAAAATGAAAAACTTCTGTGCTTCACAGAAACCTGCTAACATGTGAAAAATGGACCAGGGATGTGCGTCAGTGGTAGAGCACAGATGTACATGCAATGCCCTAAGTTCAATTGCTAGCATAGCAAAAACATAGTTGTGTGGATACATGTGTCTGTGTCCATGTATGTATGTGAACATACAATTGACTCATGTGAAAAGTACCCAAGATCATTAATTCTGTTCTTTTCACTACCAACTTTTAATCTTCTCATCCTTCTCTTCCCCTTTTTATTCAAAACAGTAGTTTGTTCTCATGAAGTATCATTAGTAGGATTTATAGTTTATTAAAATTTATTTACCCAGCTTGAGGTTCTTTTCTTGGAGAGGCCTAGTGATTAGTAGTAAGAGAACTGGAAGGATATAAGAACTTAGGTCTTTCCTTTCAAGCTGAAAAGCAGTTGAAGCCAGTGTTAGGTGTAGAACCTGATTTTCTTATCACCAAGCATAATGCTATGGCAGCAAACTGTCATTTAACCAATTGAGACTAGAGCTTATGTAGAACCTGGTAACTTTTGGTAATAACAGCCACATTCCCTTATAATTAATATCTACTAGACACATAATTGCTGCAGGGCATTAGAGGTGAACATACATTATTTTGTCGTTGGGGCTTTTGAGATCACAAATAACAGTTATTTACATAAAAGCTGACTTTAAAGTGCATTTGAGGAATGCTCAAAGATCAGTAGTAAATATACCTCCGAACCTGAGGAATGGAGTTATGTCCAATTATATACATTACATTACATACACATTATTATAGCCAATCTGGGTTCAATCTTTGGCACCTCATATGGTCTAAAAGGATGATCAAAAAATGTTTCCTTAGAAGAAAGTTAATGAAGACTGTTGTATCTCACCATGGAGCCTTGTATAAAAGATTACTAAGATATTGAAGGTTAAGCCTTCTGTGTTTATATATATATTTTTTCTTTTTGGGTCACATCTGGCGATGCTCAGGGGTTACTCCTGGCTTTGCACTCAGAAATCACTCCTGGCAGTGCTCAGGGGACCATGTGGGATGCTGGGAATCGAATCCAGGTTGGCTGCGTTCAAGGCAAACTCCCTATCCGCTGTGCTATCACTTCAGCCCCTGTGTTATATTTTGTTAATTGAGATTGGTTGCCTTTTATATTACATCCCATCCAATCTAGTGTGCTACTCCTGATTTATAAATGTTACAGAGTTTATTCCAGGATGGCCAAAATTGTTAAAGGGGTGATACAGCTCGAGTTAAATTCTAAACTGAGTGGTAGCTTTGGGGTGTGTGAGTCACTGCTGGGCTTCCACAAGTACAGGAAGATGTGGGGAGGTAAGCCTATCTCAACTATGTGAAAGCTTGGAGATTTCAGTCACAAAATCCGCACACCTGAGTTTTTCAACAAATTAATTTCTGGATGAGGCTTGTCTGAGCAGTGGGAGCATGGTGGCGGTGGCGATTGTGGAGTGTCACCATTAATTATTTTAGTGTATTTCTTGAGAAGGACAATCTGTCATCTAATCATGGAACAATGGTTAAAATTGTGAAATTCAGAAAGTCTATGACATGAACTATGTCTGTATATTTTTAAAGGGAGAAGTTTGTTGGAACTTGGAGGAAACAATGCCATCATTGGTAAGTCTGTCCTGTGCTTTGTTCTATTTTATGTTTAAAATTTCTTCAGTAATATTCCTGACTAGATAGGCCTTGTATAGTGGCTCATCTCTTCTGTGCTGTGTGTATCTTACGCATGTGTCTCTTGGTAATGAATTTTATTTGTAAGTCAGGACAGTAGTTTGAAGGTAGATATAACTGACTGATTCCTCTCTATTTATTATTTTTTTTTGCTTTTTGAGTCACACCCAGCGATACACAGGGGTTACTCCTGGCTCATGCACTCAGGAATTGCTCCTGGCGGTGCTCGGGGGACCGTATGGGATGCTGGGAATCGAACCCGGGTCAGCTGCGTGCAAGGCAAACACCCTACCCGCTGTGCTATTGCTCCAGCCCACTTCTGTTCATTTTAAGAAGGTATATTTTCAGGAGGCACGAAGTTATTTTTTAAATTATTTATTTATTTTTATGAAAAGGGTTCCTCTGTCAGTTCTTTTATGTGTGAGGCTCATCCAAGTGTGTGGAGAGTGGTCTCAGCATGGCCTTGGCTGGGCCTCGGTGGTCTTCAGCTGTTGGGCCCTGGTGGAGACAGTCAGGCATAGGGTAGGAGACTCTGCCTTGTTCTCTCCCAGGAGCTGAGTGTGAGAATCTCTGGATCCTGGCCGTTGTTGGAGTTACACGGCAGTTGGTGGGTGTAACTGTCTAGTTACTGGCAGGTCCAGTCCCAAACTGTGCAGGTGTGTGGGACCCGGGGCTGAGATCTCCAAGCCTGCACAGTTTGGGACTGGACCTGCCAGTAACTAGACAGTTACACCCACCAACTGCCGTGTAACTCCAACAACGGCCAGGATCCAGAGATTCTCACACTCAGCTCCTGGGAGAGAACAAGGCAGAGTCTCCTACCCTATGCCTGACTGTCTCCACCAGGGCCCAACAGCTGAAGACCACCGAGGCCCAGCGCGACATCTTATCATCTCATTCCTAATTTGGTCAAACTGGCAGGCTACCAAATGTAACATGCCCACACGGCAGGGTCTGGCAAACTCCCCGTGGTATACCCAATATGCCAAATACCAGTAACAATGATGGGTCTCATTCTCCTAACCCTGAAAAAGCCTTGAATATGGCACTTAAAAAAAAAAAAAATCTCAGGGCTAGGACGAAGAAGACGTTACTGGCACCTGCTCGAGGCAATCGACGAACAACAGGGTGGTCGTGATCTGATCGTGATGAAAAGGGTGCAGTGTAGGATAACATTGGTTTGCCTTTCTCCCTTGCCATAGGGAGCTTAGGTTTATCAGGTTACACCCATCACAGTGCTCCCGAGTCGCTCCCATTCCTCTGTGTTTATCTGTAACACAGACTATTTTTTTTTTATAAACATTAATCCTCACATTATAACATTATGCTTTAAAAGTCATTCTTTGTTTCTGTTTTCAAATTGTAGTATGTATGCAATAGTTTCTGTAAGTAAATGCTTTATGGAAGACTTAAGTATGATTAAAGGAGTAGATTTTAGAACCTTATCGCAGGTAGGGCGTTTGCCTTGCATGCGGCCGACCCGGGTGACCTGGGTTCGATTCCTCTGCCCCTCTCGAGAGCCCGGCAAGCTACTGAGAGTATCCCGCCTGCACGACAGAGCTTAGCAAGCTACCCGTGGTGTATGCAATATGCCAAAAACAGTAACAAGTCTCACAAAGGAGACATAACTGGGCCTGCGCGAGCAAATTGATGAACAATGGGAGGACAGTGCTATAGTGCAGTGCTGTTTAGAAGACATGAGGTGAGAATAAGAAAGGAGTATGTGTTCAAGAGAGAACATGGCTTCTTCAGAATAGAAAAAACAAGCAAAGAAACATGAAGACAAGACCATGCTCTTTTTTTATTTTTATTTTTTATTTTTATTAGTGAAACGCCATGAGGTACAGTTGTAGACTTACAAATTTTTGTGCTTGAGTTTCAATTATACGATGATCAAGTACCCATCCCTCCACTAGTGCCCACTCTCCACCACCACGGATCCCAGTATCCCTCCCACCCCCCATCCCCCCTGTCCCACCCTGCCTCTGTGGCAGGGCATTCTCTTCCATTCTCTCTCTCCTCTTGGGTGCTGTGGTTTTCAAAAGAGGCATTGAGTGGCAATCATGTTCAGTCTATAGTCTACTTTCAGCATGCTTTTCCCATCCTGGGAGGATTCTTGAAGAGCAAACCAAAGATCATTTTGTTTGTTTTGGGGACTATACACTGAGGTGCTCAGGGATCACTCTTCAGTTTTTGGGGGACTATATGTGGTGCCAGGCATTGAATCGGGGTCTTCCAGCACTCTATCCCTTGCCTGTCTCTCTGACCCAGATTTTCTTTTTTGATTATTTCCCACAAAAGGAGATAGAACAACACTGTAACTGTAGATAGGTTTATGAATCTACTGAAAATTGTGATGAATTTAAATTATGGATTCTGTAATTAAAAAGCAATACTTGCTAGTTTGTATATTGCCATCATGTTTAAATGCCTGTTTGTGGTGTACACCAGAAGTGTAGGAAGCATACGGTAGGGGCCAGGAGGTAGTATAGTGGTTAGGGCACATTTCTGGCATGGGCCCCTAGGTTTTAAAGTTAGTTGTCTAGTTGTCTAGTTAACATGAGGAGGGGCCTTGATGCTAGTACAGTGGGTAGAGTCCTTGCCTTACAGTTGACCAACCTGGTGAAAAAACCTGGTATTTTATCTGGTCCTTCCAGCCTATCAGGAATGATCTCTCAGATCAGAACCAGTAGTAAACCCTGAGCACTGCTAAGTGTGGTCTTCAAACCAAATCCAAACAAGCAGAAAAACCCAAACAAGACAAAACCCAAAAAAGCAAAATCATTATTGAGGAGTGGGTATTTGCTAGGCACTGTTCTCAGCTGTTTCATATGCATTATTTCCATTAATCTTCACAATAATCACCATTATTAATGAACACCATTATTAATCTTATTGAACTATTTATTTGCTAGAATGTATCCCAGACATTATTAACTCCATTTTACAGATGGAGCAAACTGAGACTTGAAGAGGTAAAACAACAAAAAAGTGATAGGGACAGGCTAGAAATCCCAGGCAGGGAGGCTGCACAAACTATCTTCTTAACCTCCATGCCAGCCTGGGGATATAATTCTAGCACACACAGGGCAGAGCTGAAGAGTGAATTATGACTCTGTTTCTGAAAGGTCTAAGGAAGGGCTTTCATATAATATTAGTGGAAGACTTCCCACTGCAAAGACTGCTGTTTTCCCTTCCGAGACCAGGGCAGAGGAAGGATACGAGTGGAGAGCAGAGAGCACAGAGCACATGGGGAGTGGTTTTGCACTAATGTGTTCAGAAGAGCAGGACTTGAAGAAGCATCTGATGTGCAGTCCCTGAAATTTCCCTCCAAGTCAGGGTGAGATCATCCCATGCAAGAGGAAAGAGCTTGACCGGTTTCAGAGATGGGTTGAGTGAGTGACACCAAGAGCATCAGAATATGGGCTGAGGGGTTGAGACTACAGCAGGAAGAGCTGACAGAGAGGATGTGGCCTTTTAGAAGACTCCACAGTGGGGCTCCAGAGGAGGCTGAGTCAGTGTCAGAAACTTCAGTAGCAAGAATAAAGAGGTCAGGGCAGGGAGAGCCTGGCTTCACTTTGCAGAGCTCACGGCTTGCTTCCCACGTTGTGGTCTTCCTGGCAGTGAACATGTCCCATGCGGGTCTGACTGCCTCAGTTAAGGCACTGGTCATGCCAGTTGGGGATGAGCAATCTGCTAGCCTGCCACACTCATGGCCGTGTCTCTATTTTCCCAAGCCTTTGAGGATGCGGACCTCAGCTTAGTCGTTCCGTCTGCTCTCTTTGCGGCTGTGGGGACTGCTGGCCAGAGGTGTACCACTGCACGGCGACTGGTGAGTGTCCCCTGCCTTCCAGCACCACTCCTGATGGATCACTTGGTTAGTTGATTGGCAGATCAAACCCTGGGCTTCACACACTCTAGGACTGAGCTCTAACAGCACTACTCATTTGGGTTTGGGTCTTTGGGCCAGACCCAGCAGTGCTCAGGGGTTACTCCTGATTCTGTGCTCAGGGGTCATTCCTGGCCACATTTGGTGATGGGGGATCAAAATGGGGTTGGCTGTATGCAAGGCAAGTGTCTTACTCTATCATTTCTCTGGCCCCACACCACTTTTTTTTTTTTTTTGGGTCATACCCTGCAGATGCTCAGGGGTTACTCCTGTCTCTGCTCTCAGGAATTATTCCTGGTGGTACTCTGAGGACCATACAGGATGCCAAGGATGGAATCTGGCTTGGCGATGTGCAAGGCAAACGCCCTCCCCACTGTACTATTGCTCCCGTCCCTCCACACCATTTTTTAACACATGGCAGTTAGGGGGTCAGAGGAGGGTTGCTGCAGAGATGTTCCTTCACCTGGGTTCTGTGCTCTGTCCTTTGTACATGCTTCTGCTCCACTCAGGGCTCCCGTTGCTTTGACTGCAGAGGGACCGACAGGTGACATTCCTCTCAATCCTGTACCTGGAGGATTAAGGATAATGTTATTTCAAGAAGAAGCTCAACTAAAATTTTGAAGAGTTATCTCTGCCTCATTTTTTATTCTCTCTCTCTCTTTCTGGTATGGGGAGGATTTTGTTTCATTTTTAAATTTTGTTTGTTTTTGGCTCCTTTTCTCAGTGCTCAGGGCCTATCCCTGGCTCCGTGCACAAGAATGACCCCTGGTGGTGGTCTTGGGACCATATGCAGTGCATAAGTACGAAAATATTCTTTATAAGATATAGCCTAACTTAATTAAACTAAAACATATGAAAATTAAGTGTTCACTTTTCCTTTATTTTTCATACCCATTTCTTCTATATTTGGTAGCACTGTAGCACTGTCATCCCATTGTTCATCGGATGCTCGAGCGGGCACCAGTAATGTCTCCGTTCGTCCTAGCCCTGAGATTTTAACAGCCTGTCCTCTCTTTGTTCCCAACTCTGCCATCTTGGAGGCTCTTTCAGGGTCAGGGGAATGAGACCCGTTATTGTTACTGTTTTTGGCATGCCGAATACGCCATGGGGAGCTTGCCAGGCTCTGCCGTGCGGGCGGGATACTCTCGGTAGCTTGCCGGACTCTCTGAGAAGGACAGAAAATATGTATATAGGCATATATATATATTTCCCTTTGTGACTTGTTGCCTACTGTCTGAACCCCATCAAATAAATATTAATATTTCCTTTATTTTTACCTTATTCAGTTGAATTTCTCAAAATAATCTGAGATCTGATGTTTTTAAGGTATTTAAAATGTATCAAGTTTGTTCATCTAAAATTTTATTACATTTATGCAAAAAAGGAGAAGATCCAAATTTTAGGAATCACAGTAGCTCAGAAACCAGGCAGAATTACCTGGTTTTATTATGAATCACTATATTTAGGAAGATCTGTAGATGACTTAAAAATTTGCGTATTAATTTTCCTGTGCCCTGGACTGTTAACTTTTCCACTTAGTTTTTACATGAAAGCATCCATGATGAAGTTGTCAACAGACTTAAGAAGGCCTATGCACAGATCCGTGTTGGTGACCCTTGGGACTGTGAGTATAAATCTTTTCTGATTGTGTGTGTGTGTGTGTATGTGTGTGTGTGCATGCGTGCACGTGCTTGTGTGTTTATGTGTTGGGTTTTTTTTTTTTTCCACACCAGGGTTACTCATGGCTTTCTCCTGACTCTGCTCAGGAACCACTCATAGCAGTGCTTAGGGGATCATTTGGGGCATTGGGGATTGAACCTGAGTCAGCCTTGTGCAAGGCAAGCCCCCTACCTGGTGTCCTATCACTCCAGTTCCATTGTGTTCATGTTCTCCAGAGGTTTGAGAGCACATGAAGCAGGAATTAAGGCATTTGTTTGTGTTTTGTTTCTGGGCCATACCTAGCAGTGCTCAGGGCTTAATTCTGGCTCTGTGCTCAAGGATCACTCTTGGCAGTGGGGAACAAAACCGGGTTAAAACTAGGTGCAAAGCAAACGCCCTTCCTGCTGTACTATATCTCCAGCCCCAGCATTAGGTCGTTTATGGCAATGCACCTGCTGGTAGGTTTGGTCCTGAGTGTTGTGTGTGACCGGTGGGCGAGCCTGGGCGATGCTGTAGAGATGGGTTGAGCTTGAGGGGCCTTTCTTCCCCTCACGGATGTCGCCTGAATCCAAGCTGGTCTGTCCTCTTTGTTGAACAGCTTAACTGGCTTTCATGCTTCCTCTCCTGCCTCTCTTTGCTTCTTTAGGTCAAAACTTAGATTCTTTCCAAGTTTCTTTAGCAGGGTTTGCGGTTGTTGGATGATCCAACTTTGCTCACTTTACGACTCTCTGTGGGCTGTTGTATGTCCCCTGCCGTCTTTCTTCTGGCACCTTCTTCCTTTGCTCCAGGTCTTCTAGGCTCCTGCCCTCTCTGCTCTTCACTGTGCCTTTTCCATGCCAGGTGCCTCATCCTTCCCCCGGCCCCAAGCTCATCTGGAATACTCTGGCTTCTCTCGGCTGAGGTATCTTTCCCTTCAGTTAGACACAAGTACTGAGCCTGTGAGGTCTTAGAGAAAGTGGAGAGGTGTCTTTTATTCTCAGTGCAGTGCCCTGTCTAATAGTCATTTCTTTAAACTAGGAGCTGATTGGGGCTGGAGCGATGGTACAGTGGTAGGGCTCTTGCCTTACACATGGCTGACCCCATTTTATCCCTGGCAACGTTCATGGTCCCCTGGGCACTGCAAGGAGTGATCTCTGAGTATAGAACCTTGTGCCCTTGAACCCAGAGGTAGCCCTAACACCCCACCCTCCAATTATATATGTATATACATGTATACATATGTAAATAAAATAGGAGTTGATCAGCAGACTTGACCTGCTAGCCACTTCTGAAGAGAAAGCTTACAGGGGACATAGCTATAGCCCCTTGCTGATCTGTTGTTTTGACTCCTTTCCTGGCACAATGGCAGAGACCACAGAAGTGATTCCAAGCGCAGGATATTTGCTGTCTGGGCTTTTTTTTCTTTTTTCTTTCCCTCTTTGGGTCACACCCAGTGATGGTCAGGGGTTACTTCTGGGTCATGCACTCAGGAATTTTTCCTAGAGGTGCTTGGGGGACCATATGGGATGCTGGGAATCGAACCCCGGTCAACCATATTCAAGACAAATGCCCTACCTGCTGTGCTATCGCTCCAGCCCCTGTCTGGGTATTTCTAGAAAAAGGTTTCTGATTCCTGCTCCATGTTGAGCCTCACTGAAGGGATGGGTCGGTTCTTGGGAAAGCTGTCTAAGTCATGAAGCGATGCCACGGAGGTAGAACAAAGAGTCTTTCCTTCTCTCTGCAGCGAATGTTCTCTATGGGCCACTCCACACCAAGCAGGCAGTGAACATGTTCCTTGGAGCCGTGGATGCAGCAAAGAAGGAAGGTGGCACAGTGGTCTATGGTGGCAAGGTAAGGGAGGCCCCGAGATCAATAGTCATGTGAGTTTGCTTCCTGCAGGCCTGAGCAGGGGGGATTGGGCAGATGGCAAAAGGATCCCTGAGTGCCTTCTTTCTTCTCCCCAGCCTGTGCTAAGGGTAAATACACATTTTCAATAGTGACAACATAAAATGCAGGGAATATTTCTGAAAGATGCAAGCTCAGAGCTGTGGCTGCTTTTGAATGAAGACTAGTGGGAATGTAAATTGGTGCAACCACACTGGAAAATGCGGGGGATCTTCCCTGAAGAAGCTTAAGATAAGAGTCAAAATATGTGATCTAGCAACCCCATTTTTAGAATCTATCTGAAGAATCAGAAAAAATTAACATACAATGTTAACTCTCACCTGGTGCTTAACTACAAGATATTTGCAATAGCTAAAATAAAGGAAATGACCATTGATGTACCATTGATACATGGTTAGATAAAGAAGACGTGGTGCATTTATTCAATGGAATATTATGCTCAACTATTTAAAAAATGAAATTTTGATATTTGTAAACAAACGGAAGAAGCTCAAGGGAATTATGTGAAGAAAACTAAGAAGGAAAAAGACAACTGACTTCATGTGGAATCTAAGGATTTAAAATTAATTAATAGGGGCCAGAGTGATAGTACAGTGGGTAGGGCTCTTGCCTTGCATGCAGCTGACTTCAGTTTGATCTCTAGCACCAAATATGGTCCCTGCCAAGGAGTGATCCCTGAGCACAGAGCCAAGAGTAAGCCCTGAGCACTGCTGAATGTGGCCCCAAACCACATAAAAGAAAACCCCAAATTGAATATGATTACTGTCTAGAGTGGAAATTGAATATGATTACTGCCCAGAGTGGAGTGGGCATCTTTAAGTATATGAATGCCTGTGCCTGTGTGTGTGTGTGTGTGTGTGTGTGTGTGTGTGTAGTATACTTTCTTATAATATCAATATGATTATTAAACATAGAAGAATTAGAATCCTTAAAAAAACTTTGGGGAACCACACCCAGTTGTGCTCCGTACCCATATGTGGTGCTTAGGGATCAAACTTGGGGATCAAACTAAAGGCAAGCGATTTACCCACTGTGTTCTACCCGGCCCTAGAATCCACTTTTAATGGCTATATTTATATTATTTTTATTTTTTACTTTTTTGGGTTTTGGGGCCACACCTGATTGTGTTCAAGGTTTACTCCAGACTCTGTGCTCAGGACTGACTCCTGGCAGTGCTTGAGGGACCATATGTGGTAGCAGGGATAAAACCTAGGTCGTTAGTGTGCTTGGCAAATACCCTATCTGCTAAACTATGGCTCAGACCCACTAATGGCTATATTTAATGGTAAATGAACACAGAGTATTGGGTTAGAGTGGAATAGGCTGAACTTGTGCTTTGCATGTGGAGACCCCAAGTTTCTGGCACTGCATCTGGCATCATCAGGAGTGACTCCTAAGAACTGGAACTGACCTCCAAACCCCTAAGAGTGACTCAAAAAAAAAAACCTTTTTTAATTTTTTTAGTAGAGAGAATCAAAATAATACATACCAAGAACAAACATTTGGAACCAACCTATCTTAGTACATGAGTCAGATTCCTTTGGTGTAGGGCCCAGGCATTTTCTTCCTGTATGTAGGAATTTGACTTTTCTCTTTGCATCAGCTGTGCCTATAAATTTTTAACCAAAAGTTAGTTACACTTTCTTTAAAATTCTCTAAGTAAGGAGTCTCAAGCAAAGCAACCAGAGAGCAGAATCCTCCCAGTCTATCAGTGATAATGCTCACCCCTAGTTGAACAGAGGTGTGTGAGGATATTTATGTATATATCTGTTACTTATGTTGAATTCTTTTCTAAAGCATTTTCCTTAGGTTTATAGGGATAGCTCTTTTTTCCTTTGGGCAATATTTATTCAGGTTGCACAATGCTGTCAGGTGTTACAAGAACAAATACAAGCTGCCTTGCGCAGGATTGGGAGTAAATATAGTTAATACTTAGTAAACAGCTCAGGTTGTGAGATCACATTGATCCAAGGTGGTGGGGAGAGAGGGATGACCCCAGCTATGGCAGCCTGCTGTGAACATCTCAGGAAATGTTGACCATTGGTTAAATGGAGATGAATTAGTAATTTGGTTATGTGAGGTTGGTTTTTAGGAAGTGTCTGTATATACTCTTGGGGCTTGTGGTTTTTGTACAATGTCATATTAGTCTGCCAGAATGGCCATAACAAAATATCGCTGCCTTACTCACTAGCTTAGACACACTTACTTAAAATCCAAGATGCTGGTAGTGCTGGTTCCTGGCTTACAAATGAATCCCGTCTTTAGTTTGGGGGTGGAGGGCTTCTTCTTGTGACCACTAAATGCTCTTTCCTCCCTGTGTGCATAGAGGGAACTCTCCACTTGTCTCTCTGTTTTATCGCCTTCATCCGTTAGGGTCTTTATATTTAGTTTTTTCATTAATTTTTTTTCTATTATAAGGATGTCAGTTGCCTCAGATGAGGTCACTCTTTTGTGATCTCATTTAACTCTAAATACCTCCTTACAAGGTCTTGGGTCTAATTCTCTCACACTGGTGGGTGTGGGTGGGCTAAAGTTTCAATAGACAAGTGCATTGTAGATAGAATACAGTATGTCAAACAATGATATCAATTCCCTATGTTAAAATTTCGCAAATTTGCAATGAGCAACCCTGGTTCAAATCTTCGTATTGTCACCCAAGAACTGCCAGAGGCCAGGGCTAATTACAGAGCCACAGTAGCCCCTGATCACTGATGGATATGGTCCAGAAGCCAACCAACCAGCCCACAATTAAACCAAAAATGTTATGAAGTTAAAGATAACTCTTCCTGACTTTGTGTGTTTATGGTTCTCTGTCTTTGAGGTAGTGGTGGTGGTGGGGAAGTGTGTGTGTGGAGGGGTGTTTTCTCTAAGCTGAACCAATAGGAGGGAACAGTGTATTTTCATTATTAAAACTTTTAAATTGATTTTATTTATTGGGTAGGGGCACTTGGTGTGGCTCTGTATAGACATTACTCCTTTGTTGTTGTTGTTGTTGTTTTTGTTTTTTGGGGCCACATTCAGCTGTGCTCAGGTCTTATTCCTGGCTCTGCACTCAAGGATCACTCATGACAGACTCGGGAAACTATTTGGAGTGCCAGGAAACAAACCTTGGTCAGATGTATGCAAAACTAGCACCCTCCCACAGTACCATCTCTCTGTCCCTATTACTGTTACTTCTGGTGGTTTACTGGGGACCATATTTGGTGCTGGGGATTGAATCGGGGTGGCTGCATGCAAGGCAGATGCTTTAACCCATATACTCTCTGGCCCAGCACATTTTCATTTTTAATAGGACATTATCTTGGAAAAATAATTATAAATGATAGTTGCTCTTCTCCCTCATAAGCATAGGCAAAGATTATGTCCTCTTACTTCAGGTACTAAAAACCAAAACTCTGACTTTGTTTTTATTTTTTCTCTATGGAAGGCTATGGATCGCCCTGGAAATTACGTAGAACCAACAATTGTGACAGGCCTTGCTCACAATGCAACCATTGCTCACACAGAGACTTTTGCGCCAATTCTTTATGTCTTTAAGTTCAAGGTAAAAATGAGTTTTTTCTCGCTTTTCTCTATGCTGGTATTGAAACAAAATGAGAAAATTGGGAGAAAATGGATGGGTATTAAATTCCCCTTGATGAGCCTTTAGGAAGCTTTTAGAAAGTCACTCTGATCAGTACAAATTTGAAGGTTAAAGATAAAATGGAATGTGAAGAACCTGTTAAACCACAATGTTAAGCCGACTGCCTGGGAAACCAAGATGAGTAGAGAGCCAATTTTGGAATTAATGGAGAATATAACCTCCATTCTTATTTCATCTTCTTCAGGGCTGTGTGGGGCACACAGCTTCTATACATAATGGACTGGCTAAACTTGACAGCCTGACTGTTTAGTCTCAGTGGGTAAAACGTGACGATTAGGGATACATAGAGATCTAGAGTTTCCCAGCCTATATCTGAGGCTGTGAAATGCTTTCTATTTTGTTTTGTTTGTCATTTGCAATGCCAGGGCTTGCACCCAGGATCTAAGCAAGACACAAGTCCACCACTGAGCCCCACTCCCAGCTCTGGATGTGAGGGTGTGAACAACAGGGATAACTGGAGGTCTCCCTCCTTATGTGGGATGGCTCTAGGCTTGCCAGCCAATATGTAGAGAGTAAACACAGGCTTAGGTGTGCTTGCTGATTAACAGTTAACAGGATAGTGAGAATGCATCCTGTTGCAATAATAGGGTCACACAATTTTCAATTGTGTTAATTGTCTCTTTTTGTTTGTGGTGACTAGAGCATATGGTTTAATGTATTTGGCAGTGTCTTTACATATGTGCAGCTGAACTCTTCACCAAATATTTAGGCTCTTCAGATCTCCATTGCCTCCATTGTAAACTGAGCTCATACAAAGCCAGTGCTATAGGGTGAGGATTAAATAAATAAATGTACGCGGAGGGCTTTGGTCAGTGTGTTTGCACATGGCTTGATATGTTTTGACTGCCATAGGGAGTAACATAGAAACCTGTACTGATTGTGTCTCGTAGTTGGGGAAACCCCACAAAGCTGTAAAAAGAAGCATAGTAAGATATTGACTCTTTGGTTTCCCTCTGTGATCCCTATAGTGATCCTGAGATCTTATCACATACATTTAATCAGCATGAGGGGGCTTTGATATGAAAACTGTCTCATCTCACTGCTTCTAATGTTTAGAATGAAGAAGAGGTCTTTGCATGGAATAATGAAGTCAAACAAGGACTTTCAAGTAGCATCTTCACCAAGGATTTGGGCAGAATCTTCCGTTGGCTTGGGTATAGCTTTGTCTTTTTTTTGTTGTTGTTGTTGGTTGGTTTTAGTGTTGGGGCCACACCCAGCTGTGCCCAGGGCTTGCTTACTCTTATCTCTGCATTCAGGGATCACTCTTGGTAGGCTCAGGGAACCAGATGGGGTGCTGGGGATCGAACTGGGGTTGGACGCGTGCAAGGCAAGCCCCTTACCTGCTGTACTATCTCTCTGGCCCCCTTGTCTATTTTGAAAATGTCAGTGAATCTAATTTGTTTGGTGGATGAACTTTATAGAATGAAAAAGGGATCAGGAGTAGAAATTCCATTTCCAAGTCTTGAAAGTCTTAGAGGTTTCGTTTGTTTTGTTACATTTTCCTGTGCATTGCTCTCACCAAGTCTCCCTCTTTACATGCAGACCTAAGGGATCAGACTGTGGCATTGTAAACGTCAACATTCCAACGAGTGGAGCAGAGATTGGAGGTGCCTTTGGTATGTAGAGGATCGTTTCTCTGTTCTCTAGCTATATGGGATCAGGAATTCATCAGCCAGGGCTGCCATAATAATATTCCATGAAATGTGTGATTTAAACAGCGTTTCTGTTAACATGGAACATTCATGGAGGTTGGGAGTCCAAGATCATGGGGTGGGCAGGTTTGATTTCTCCTGAGGCTCCTCTTCTTTGTTGGCAGTTGCCCACCTTTTTCCTGTGCGTCTGTGGTACCCTCCCCGTCCACCTCCCCTGCCACCTCTTCTCAGCCCTCTTGGCACAGGGCCCCGTCCTTGGGGTCCTGGTAAGCCTTCATTACCCTACTGAAAGTCCTGTCTCCAAATACACTCACATTCTGTGGCTTTTGGAGCTGGGGTCTGGCCTAGGAAGTCTTTGCAGGGCTCATAAGGAGGACTATAATGGGTGCCCAAGGAAAGCAGTAGTAGCTTTCGGAGAAGTTTGACTGGAGATCTGAAATAATAAGCTCACTTACCTATACCACAGCCCTAAGAGGCCGTGGGCTCTCCCTCCAGGGCTCCCTCCCATATTTCCATGTCCTCTTAATTCCTTTTATTTTTCTTGCTGAGTCCCTTTTCTCCCCTCTCTAGCTATTGCCGGGATCACCTTTGGTGGTGCCAGGAGTGTAGGGTAGGGCAGGTGCTGGGGGTAATGCTAGGCTTGTGCTCTGGCCCTGGAGTCACACCTCTGGCCCCCCAGGTTCGTGTCTGCAGGGGAGATTCTTGGGGTCCACCATAAAGTCACTTGCTCTGGCCCCTCTCGGATATTTCCATTTTCTCCCTGTGGGTGGGAGAAGGATCCGGTCCGGGAGGAGCTGATTTGGAAGTGACCATGCTTGTTTGTCTGCAGGAGGGGAGAAGCACACGGGCGGCGGCCGTGAGTCGGGCAGCGATTCCTGGAAGCAGTACATGAGACGGTCCACGTGGTGAGGGCCAGTGGGGCGCCTCTCCTTGCCCTGCTGTTCTGCATATTTTTCCTGCTGTTGCACTGGGTTTCTCTCTCTCTCTCTCTCCTTCTCTCTCTCTCTCCCTCCCTCCCTCTCTTCCTCCCTTTCTCCCTCCATCCCTCCCCCCTCTCTCTTTCTTCCCCCTTCCCTCCTTCCCTCCTTCCCTCCTTCCCTCCCTCCCTCCCTCCCTCCCTCCCTCCCTCCCTCTGTCTCTTCCTCCCCCCACACCTCTCTCTCTCTGCACTGAGCAGGCTTGTTTATCAGTTTTGTTTTTTTTCGCCACACCTGGTGATGCTCAGGGCTTACTCCTGACTCTGCACTCGGGAGTCACTCCTGACGGTGCCCGGGGCATCCCCCAATGATGCCGGGGATCATGCTTGGTTCAGTTGTGCTGTACCTGCTATACTGTTTCTCTGGCCCCCAAGCAGGTGTTTTGGACCTGCTCTTACTCTCATCACCTCACTCCTCCAGGGTCAGCTAGTGGCAGGCTCCATTGCATTGTCTGGGGTCACAGTTAGGAAATGGCACAGTGAACATGGCCTCTGGAAGCTGTGCGCTGAGCTTTTGTCCTGGGTGCAGGGACCCAGTTGTCCCTTCAGGCAAGAGAAGAGATGGGAGAGGGAGGTGGGCCAGTGCCCAGAAGGGAAAGAGGATTCTGACCTGTTTAAGAGAGGTTTCAAGTTGGAGGTGTGTCCTGGACTTGGAATCTGTTTTTCCTTTCCACTGGGTGGAAACTGCTTTTTCCCCAGTGCGCAAAGATTATGAGGCTTCAGTGGTACATTCTAGAAGGATCACAGGGTGAGGACCCTAGGGCACCTTTCCTAGTCTGAGTTATTGTTTCTTGCTAGATGGCAGATTCAGGTCGGTTTCTCAACCTCGTGCCCCGAGGGCCTTAGCAATGTTTGCCTGTTGGGCATTTCTGGGGTTATTTTGGTTGGTTAAGTCACAAACACATGCATACGCTAAAATGTGGCTGTGGCCTTTCTGGAACCTAGTAGTGGGGAATTTTTTGAGGAAGGTGGGGGATGCTTTTGTTCTTAAGGACAAAAGGGACTGGAGCAATAGTACAGCGGATAGAACACTCGCCTTGCATGTGGCTGACCCTGGTTGTATTCCCAGCATCCCCTGTGGTCCCCAGAGCTTAGCCAGGAGTGACCCCTAGCACCCTTGGGGCGTGGCCCCAGAACAAAAGCAAAACAAAACAGAAATATCAAAAAAAAGGATAAACATTTAGAAAATAAGAGTAAATAAAATATACTTTCTAAATTTTCATCCCTTTTTTTTTCTGTCAAAATATGAATCTCTGTGTTTTCCCTGCTAATTCAGTGCATACCAGTTACTGGGTGATATAAAGAAGAAATTTTCCATTTTTTTTTTTCCTGGACACACTCTGTAGTGCTCAAGAACTACACTCCCAGCTCAGTGCTTAGGGGATCATGTGGTACTGGACCTCTAACATACAGAGCATTCCAGCTCTTTGATCTGTCTCCCTGAATGGTTTCCATGTTTTTATGTGCTGAAAACTGAGTAACACTTCTGATATATTTTTCTAGACTTTCATATTTCTCTCCATCCCACCCTTTCTTCTGTTACAAAACTGAACTTATACTAACTTATCTTGTCAAATAGCATCTTGTTCATTTGTTTAGTTTTGGGTCATACAGTGATGCTCAGAAGACTGTGCAGTACTGGGGACTGAATCCAGCACGCAGAGCATGTGCTCCAGCCTACTTAGTTCTCTCTTGGTCTCACTATCTTTTTTTTTTTTTTATCCTAATTTGTTTTTTCTACCAACTTGGTCATTTTGCCACATATTTATGTATGTATGTGTGTCTCTTTGTGTGTGTGTGTGGGGGGGAGGATGTTTTCAATACTTTCTAAAAATGTAGATTATTATACAATATGCTATGTGATATCTTTAATTTTGTTCCTTTTTTTTTTCTCTCCTTAGTACCATCAACTACAGCAAGGACCTTCCTCTGGCTCAAGGAATCAAGTTTCAGTAAAGGTGCCTTAACTTGAAAGAACTTCATTTTGCTAGATATTCTCATCTCTTTTTTGGGAAGAAGACAAAATTATAAAATGAGATTTTTTTTCGCTAAATAAATACATCATTTTGAATATAACAATGATGATTTATTATGCCCCAGGGACTTTGACTAACCTACAATATTTGTTTTAGTTTCGAGGTCATACCTGGCAGTATTTAGGGATTATTCCTAGCTCTCTGCACTCAAGGATCACTCCTGAGGGGCTTGAAGGATCATGTGGTGCTGGAGATCAAACTTGGGTCAGCATACAAGGCAAAAACCCTACTTGATTTCTAAAAATAAAAGGTCTGGGGGATGTAGAAATTGTAGAACAGGTAGGGCACTTACTTATATGTGGCTGACCTCGATTCTATCTCTAACACTCCCTGGGTCCCCTGATCCCTACCAAGAGTGACCTGAGAGCAGAGCCAGGAACTTTTCTGGGTGTGGCCCCAAAATCAAAACATAAAATAGTAGGTGATCTAGTTATGACTATCTGTATTGAACGACGGGACAGATTGAATGCATTTTTGTTACTATTGGTAGTTCTTGATTTTCTAAAAAGTTTGATTTTTTTAATAATTTAAAAAAAAAGGCTGTAGAGATAGTGCAGGGATTAAGGCACTTGTGTTCATATTGCTGATGACTCTGGTTCAATCCCTGGCACCATGTATGACTCCCTGAGCATCACCACCAGGAAATAACTTCTGAATACAGAATTAGGAGTAGCCCCTGAGTATCATCAGATGTATCCTCCTTCCCAAAACCAAAAACATTTTTATTTTTATTTATTTGCTTTTTGGGGGCTGGAGCGATAGCACAGCGGTGGGGTGTTTGCCTTGCACACAGCCAACATGGCCGACCCGAGTTCGATTCCTCCGCCCTCTTGGAGAGCCCGGCAAGCTACTGAGAGTATCTTGCCCGCATGGCAGAGCCTGGCAAGCTACCCGTGATGTATTCGATATGCCAAACACAGTAACAACAAAGTCTCCAATGGAGACGTTACTGGGCTCCTTTGAGCAAATCGATGAACAACGGGAGGGCAGTGATGATGTGATGATTTACTTTTTGGGTCATGTCTGGCGATGCACGGGGGTTACTCCTGGCTCTGCACTTAGGAATTACCCCTGATGGTGCTCAGGGGACCATATGGGATGCTGGGAATCAAACCCGGGTTGGCCGCGTGCAAGGCAAACGCCCTACCTGCTGTGCTATTGCTCCAGCCCCCCCAAAACATTTTTAAAATGTAGTTTATGTCACAGTAGGAATTTGGAAAAAAAACAGCAAAATATAGGAGCATCTTCTCTTCTCCTGGGCAGGAATAGCTCCTGAGCAGAAAGGGAATCTAGTGAGGACGATTGAGTCACCCTTTTCTTGCAGGTGCTGGGCAGGATGGGTGGGAGGCAGGCCATGTTCTTACGCAGGCCCCTAGCTCAGTCTGCATCTATGTGTGCAGCGACTTTGTTTTGATGTCCCATCACCATTGTGGCAGAGTTTCCTGTCCCCGCGCCTCACTGTCCTCGCCGGGGCCCCTTGGAGGGGGGCAGGTTGAGTTTCCCTCCCCGCCCTGAACAGAGCTCCGGCAGCTGAAGACCTCCAGAACCAGCCACCACCATGCTGAGACCACTCTCTACAAGCATGAAGGTACCGGCAGAGGAACAAAGCCATGCGCGTCCCGGGGCTGAGATCTCCAAGCATGCTCGGATCTGGACTGAGCATCCTCCACCCAGATCCTCCACCTTCCAGTAGGCAGGGGTCACACCCACCATCTGACCCCCAGCGCCGTATAATCCCATCAACGGCCAAGACCCAGAGACTATAAAACCCAGCTCCCAGAAGCTGGGACATCTTATTATCTCATTCTTACTTTGGACAACCTGGCAGGTTACCGAATGTTACCTGCCCACACGGCAGAATCTGGCAACTCCCCATGGCATACCCAGTATGCCAAATACCAATAACAATGATGGGTCTCATTCTCCTAAACCTGAAAGAGCCTTGAATATGGTACTTAAAATCTCAGGGCTAGGACGAATGAGACATTACTGGTGCCTCCTCAAGGCAATCGACGAACAACAGGATGATCATGATTGTGTTCGTGATCACCATTGTGACTTCTGATTACTGTTTCACCCACGAAGCATTTGTGGGGTATCCAGATATCTTCCCTGCTGACGACTCTGCCATGCATCTATTAATAGAGCACCTGCATCTCTTGTGCAGCTTGAGACATTTTCTGTAGCTGTCGGGCTTCTGCCGCTGTCCTTGGCTTTGTTCTCAGTGAATAGCTGCAAAGTTGTGGCTGTGAACAGGGCAAAGCTCGCTTTGGCTCCTACAGAGCAGTTGCCCAGAATTTGGAAGGGTTCAACCTAGAGACTCTTGATGAGTTCAGACTGGCTCTTGGAGCTCTCTTGCCTTCCTCGTCATCTACACCACATCTCAACCTCAGCCCCAACCTTGTCCCCCAGCCCTGGCCCTCAACTTACTCTTGCCAGACTGGACTGGAGCAGAAGCCTTAGAACACAACAAAGCTCTAAGATGACCCAGTGAATAAGAATGTATAGGGAGATTTGGACAACTGGCAAAGAATCTGCGATTGATTTATAATACAGAAGCAAGCAAATGAAAAAAATGAAGCAATTATAGGGATTGGGAAGAGAGCTCAGGTCAGGGACAAGCATCTTGTAAACACAAGAATCTAAGTGTTATCTCTGGCACCACATGGACCCCAAGCACTATCAGGTATAACCTGGGGGTCCCCTAGCACCATCAGGGGCTTCGTGGCCCCAGCACCAGTGAGCCGAGCACTGAACTGAGTGTCCCCTGAGTGGCCTGAGCATTTAAGGGCTGCTCCTCTGGATCCCCTCACAACAATAACACACACACACACACACACATACACACCAAAACCTTGACAATTATAACTCTCAGGGAAGGAACAATATTCATGATGTGTTCATAGCCCAGCTGTGACAAGTGTCCACCTAGGCATGTGGTTGGCAACCTTGAATATTAATCAAGCCAAATGTTGACAATACATCTGTTGACATTGTGTTGGCAGAAAGAAATCAGGGGTGAGGGTAGGTGAAAGGCAGGTAGTTCTTCATGTTCCAGAGAGGAAAATCAATAATGCCCCATGTTACAACAGCAAGAAATAGCAACACTTATGAAGAGAGCGAAGTAAATTTCCAAAGAGGTCAGACAGGGGTTGGAGCTGGGCACCTGGAGAGAGAGTGTTTCTCAGAATTGCAGCTCGCGTGTGGGAGACCAGGCCTAGCATGGACAAGGCCCCAAGTTCAGCAACCCTTCCCCCCCCACCAAAACGCGGGAGCAGAGTGAGTGAAAGAGAGAGAGGGAATTTAATTAAAAGAATATATAACTGATAAAAATTAAAGCCAGGGCCACTTGCTGTGCAGGTGCAAAGTCCCCAGGTCATTCCCGGGGCCACATGACCCTGCCCAGTCACCTCCTTCCCCCAACACTTTGAAGATGGCCCTGAAGGCCCCTGGGTATTATTTAGGAGTTCCAATAAGCCAATTAAGTGTGGAGTGAATTAAATTAAATGATGTGCTGATTGCTGCTCTGTGTCAGGGGTGCGGGGGAGGGGGGGCCAATGAGGTCACAGAGACAGTGCTGGGGACAAGGACGTGAAGGGTCTGGATTGGACCCAGAGCACCAGGAGCCCTGCCACTGAGGCATGTCTCCAGCTTCACGATTCTGGATTTTAATGAGACTCTTCCCTATGGGAGGGCCCATAGATGTTTCTTTTTTAACATTTTAGTTTTAATCCACTTAGAATTGGTGGGAGGTGGAGTTTGCTTTGATCTAAATTGATTTTCTCTTCAAATATTTAAGTAGTTTCTTCCAATAAAAATACCTCCAAAATGGCAAATGAATTTTCCCCTTTTGCATTGATTTTTTTTTTGTAATACTTTACAATCTTTTGGATTTAAGCCTTTGTTTTAAGTTTGTGTTTTCTGATTCAGTCATTAGAGTATATAAACACATGCACATACGCATATAATATACACACTAAAGCGATTTAATTCTTGTGGCCTTTAGAATTTACTTATTTTGGACTATTATACCTATTACTTATGTGACCTTTGGAGAGCATCCTTGCTTCTTTGGCTTTTATTTTCATGACTAATGTGGGGTGGATTAATTCAGCTTCTTGGTTGCAAGCTCTAGAAACCTTTTCTGCCTTCAGCAGCACTTGGAAAGCAGGCTGGCTGTTCTGGCTCTGCCCCTGATCCTTTCCACAGCATCCTCTCTCCTGCAGAGCGTCTTTGGGACTGGACTTGGGAGATGGTTTCTCCTGGAGGCTTCTGTGTTTGGTCTGTGGTTGAAAATCAGAGCTGATGAGCCTTTCTTCACCTCTTCCCTGCCAGCCTGTGATGGTCAATGATTGTCTGGGTATTTTTCCTTTTACTGTGACCTGTCCCCTTCTGTTCTTGTGACAGGGGATTCTGCCAACACTGTTCCCTCTAGCCTGTGCATGTGGAAATGGTATTGTCGTTTGTTTGTTTTTTAAATTGTGGCAGTATTGCTAAAAATAAAACAACACACACACACAAACTGACAGTTACATGTTGTGAAATCCATGAGCCCGAAATTAAGTTTTGTTTGTTTGGTTTCACAGACCTCTTTGGTGGTGCTGGGGTCACCAGGGCAATACTAGGAGATGCTCAGGAGGCCTCCTGGTGGCAAGGATTGAACCTGGGGTCCTGTGTGTGTGTGTGTCGGGCATATGCTCTAAACGATTCCAGCCACATCTACAGCCTTCCTCCTCCTCCTCCTCCTCCTCCTCCTCCTCCTCCTCATTCTTCCCTCTCACCTCTCCCCTCCCCCTCCTCCCTCCTCCCTTCTCTTCCTCCTCCTCCCCCTCCCCCCTATGAGATACAGAGTTACAAAGCTTTCAGATTGGGTTTCAGTCATACAGTGTTCCAACACCTGTCTCTCCACCAGTGTGTATTTCCCACCACCAATGGCCCCCTTAACCCTCCTGCCCCTCTCCCACTCCCCAACCCCCCTGCTGCCCTGTCCCCAGACTGTCTCTATGGCAGACTCTTTTCTTCTTTGTTTCTCTCTCT